TTTCAGACTGATCTTCATATATGCCATTTGATGCAGCAAGAAAGCGCTGAAAGAGAAGCTGTGAATCAACAGTAATGACATCATCATCAACTTTGATAGCCGATTTTGCACTTAAGATAATGGCCTGTTCTTTACTTTTAAATGAAAATTCATCAATTTTCTGTCCGTCCATGGACTTTAGAATTTTAATCCCTAATTCCTTCGAATTATCAACATTGATAAATTTGTCCGCCGAGACCCCTGTTTCTATATTTCGCAAACTGGTTTCCTCTACAAAAGGATTTCTGCTGATAAGAAACGATAAAAATGTTTTCAAATCTTGACAGTCTCTCGATCTCCTTGAATCCCCACCTTCTTTATGTTGGTCACTTGTTCCATAATTGACTCCAGTAAACTCTTGCAAAGCATTGATCATTTCCGCGCAGTCTGGCATAGATAAAATCCATTGGGCTCGCTGACCCTCTGACATACCTCTGCCCCGAGTCATACCGCCTGTCGTCTTTAAGCTTCTCATTAAAACCTGTTCTATGACCAAATCAGAAGAAAGACCTGCCCAGAATTTATCACTCCTTTTTATAACATGATAACCTGATTGTTGAAAAGCTAATACGTCAGGATGTGTTGTTTTCAAGTTCTGCATTTGTTGTAAGTATACTCGTGATGATTTGACATAATGATTGTGTCCCGAAGCTGCAAGATACGGAAGCATGTCTTTGACTGTTTGTAAATGTAGACCCCAGTTACCAGTCCTTTCAGCTTTGATGAATCTACGGAGTATATCTATCATATCCATATACTGGAACCATAGTTGTGAAGTACGAAAACTTTTGTGTGACACCCGAAAGTTATCTATCCTAGATTTTATTTGATCTAATAAAACATTTTCGCAAGCTTTTTCGACGGATATGTCCCCTTTCAGTAGTTCATCCAACATCGAATCTGCTTCATGCAACTCATCCGAAAGGTCCTCAGCGTTCATATCAGTAATGTCGGTATTTATGTAATTTGCCGGATTAATATCATTGGTTCCACTCTCATTTTAGATTTGATCTGGAAGTGGTGTGCCGTATATGTGTGACAAGATTATTGACGTGAGAGCTGTGTCTACCAGGAAATGTGCCCTTACTGCTCGTGCAATAGCCTTTCCACTAGTCATATGAGTCACTGCATTTGGTGCATACACTGTTTCAAGTAGCTCAGTAATTCCAGATCCTTCCATCAAGTGACCAATGCCGCCTACAAAACTCATTTCTAAATGAAAGCCTCCAAGTCTCAAGATAACTGACTTTAAAGGACTATCCAATGGTTCATCTTTAATTATGTTCATTGCCTTCCAATAGAGGGGTTGATCAAATGTCAAAATAGGTGAACAATGTTGAGCCTTTGCTTGCTTGCTTATGAAGTTAAGTGTTGAATTTATACATGTGAGATCACTAGGATTCATGTCTATCATTGGCAAAAAAACAACAGATGATTTTCCTGGATAATCACCGTCCATCACTTTGTGCATAATGGCTGACCAACTAGGTAGGTTGCATGTCAAAGGCCAGCATACTTTTGACAGAAGGTCTAACTTCCACGTTGTATCGACCATATTTGGCTCATAATTCATGGTTGCGAACTCTGCCTGTAACGATTGTTTAGATTGCATCTTATAATAATCTATGTTAATCTTCGCTAAGTCAGAGACTTCCTTTAGTGTGGGAGACAGCCTAGGGACAGCTTTGTCAAGTCTAAATCCTGGAGTTACAGCTGCAATCATGCCCATACCATGAAATGTTCCATGACCATCTAAAGTGCGCAGATTATGGTCTACGTTATCAGCTATATACTGAACGAAAGTGTCATTCCCAAACTGTGTGTCGGTTCTGTCATGAGCAGCAGCAGCATTAAGTTCAAACCTTTGAACCTCTGTGTAAGAAGAAGCAAAACCAAGAGTGTTCAAAGTGTCCAACAAAAACCTTGATCCAAAGTGATGATGCATTTGTACACTGAGGGCAATTTGTAGCGGTGCAATAAGTGTTCTTGGTCGGGTTGCCTGAATTATAGCTTGACCAACAGATGCAACTTTAACAGTAGAGTCGTTTTGACTAAATAATGCACTTAGAAATGTTCGTAACGAATCTGGGACAAAGGCAGTGTTTTGCTGTGAGTTTATATCAACAGAAGACGGATATATAGATTTCGAATCTTTAAGGCTCATAATACCTGCTTTTATTAGCTTAGCTGCTGTTTCTATCATCGACAGCTTTTCATCTTCTGGACTCTTAGATGATGGTTTTCTGTAAAATTCGTTCAGTATAGATGATGCTGTTCTCCTGAATGTGACTATATTCGACTTTCCGTTTACTTCCGTGATGATGATATCGAATCCAAAATGAGTTTGCAGTTTCTTTTTCATGTGCACCACACTATACGCCTTCTCTCCGCAAATTTCTTCCATAGCCTGAACAAGATCGCTTACGGTTGCAGGTTCGTCTTGTGTTTCTTCTAATTGTCTAACTATTTGCAGGAAAGCTTTCTCTGATAAATCTTCTTTTGGTCGTCCTGCTGTCGTTCGTTTGACCTCTTTGTTTGCTTGCTTCGAAACGGGGATTTGCTTACCAGTTCTAAAATTAACACTACATGTTTGGTGGTATATTGCATCTGCAGCGTGCAAATCGGATGGCGCAATGTTTAGCCTCCTCAAAACGTTTTCGGACCATTCATCATTTCTTTCTTTGCAGATGTTTCTAAGGGTCTTAGAAAAATCTGTTGTCCTGACAGGAAACACGTCGATTCCCCTTTTGCTCTCCGAAAATTTTGCATAATTTCCACAAAATAAAAAGTTCTTCTGGAACTCGAAAACAGGAGTGGAAGAGCGTAAGTCACGACTTAGCTCGGTTGTCGATAAATTCTTGTCTCGCAAGTCCTTCTTGATTGAATTAGCGTTTATGTAATCACGTCGACATTTCTGTTGAACTTTTTGTCCTGGAGTTGTGTCGATCGTATCATTTCTGGTTTGGCTGGTCCTATTAACTGTGTTACATCCTTTTTCTCTTAGTTGTGTTATTTCTTCACCATTGTTTAGAGACACCCGACAGAAAACACAAGCATCCATCATTACCTAAAAAAATGATAAAACTGTTAAGACGAGATTCAATTAAATTTGGTTTTGCTTTCATATTATTTTATCAAAAGATTTGTTTTGGATACAATATTAAAAAAGATCTATGTTGACTTTTTTAAAACTATAAAATAATTCATATGTAGTGTCTGTACTCATTATGATTAAGGATTACAACAGTTATTTTTTTCAGTTTGTTAATAGTTTCTATTTGTCGATATTCTGGTTCTATTTGTACTTTCCGCCGTAGTTCAGTGTGTTTTTATTACTTTATCATGTTAACGCTTATACAGAAACATATGACATTAATACAAGTATTAAGTGGCGCCCCTCCTCCTTTTCGGGTAAAATACCTGCTTGATGTATGCACAGAAAAACAACAGTAATCAAAATTGCCCCAAAATGTAATATGAAGTTTGATAGAGTGCCTTTCCCCTGCTTGGTGCATGGTAGCTCAGTTCAATTGTATAATGGTAGCTTTGTTAAACTGGACAATTCTAATGTCCCTCTGTCATTTGATTAATAAATATTCATCTTATTTTGGTAAAACAATTTGTCTGTATCGATTTTTAAATTTTATTATCAGTACAACTTCCTTTTTCCATGAATTCAATTTTGTTGGATTGTAACCTTTTTGGCACTAACGGCGTTCCATACTTTTTTTTTTCGTCAGCAACTCCTGGCAGTAGACTATAATTTCTTTTTTACGGGGCGATTTATATATGAAATGTATATAATTTAGTCCAAATATAAAAAGCAGAGCTGTTTTACACGTGATTTGTGGTTTAGAGACCTCGGCAAACCGAAATGGACTCATTTCTGCCCTGTACTACTTTTTGCCGTCTCCCGTGTATTTACGCCTTTCAAAAACACCAAAAATACCTTGCATGACAGCTTTTACTCTTAAGAGTGCTAAATACATATAAAACTTTTATATATAAGTCTTATATTTACTTACCAGAATGAAAAGGATGGACACTAGATGCGTCGTCTGCAGTTGACCATTACGAGTTGTCTCCCATATCGCCATTCTCAATCTACGGGCGCCATATCTTTCCATAATATTTGAAGTAAAATCCTGATTTTTTTTTTCGCCAAAATTGACGACTTTCCCCTATTTCGATTTTTCTCGATTTTTAATATGTTTCTTATACGTCATATCTCTCACGAATTCCGCAAAAAACATTTCTGTTGCAATTAGTTTGAGGTATAACCATAGAATGACTGGACTAAGAAGAATCATGATTTCTTCGCCAATAATTACGTCCTTCGGTGGTAACATTAAGAATCTATATTGCTAGCCGTTTTACCATTTATTCTAACTTCAAGATATCTAATAATTCAAACTTGATAAAATATCTCATATAGTTTATAAGATATCTTATATAGTTTATAAGATATCTCCTCATATCATTTATAAGATATCTCCGATATAGTTTTCTTTATATAAGATATCTTATATATTATATAAGATATGAGATATGAGATATGAGATATCTTGTATATTATATGAGATATCTTGAAGTTAGAATAAATAGTAAAACGGCTGCCATATATCTTTGTCAGTCAAGTTTTTACATCTTATATTAAGAATGAAATTAAATCATGCATCTTTACATTTTTATTTTTTTTATCTTTCACACCTAAAAAAACAATTTTTTTAAACGAAACTTGTGACCCGCGTACATGGAAACGATCTGCTAAATACTAGGTTACCAAACTTACTCATGGTTAAAAACAGTAAATTAATTTATTAATAGTGTAATTGAGGTGGCAAAAACAGACTTGTAAAAATACTGTACCCTGTACTGGAAGAATTCCAGTTTCTGCTGATAGAGGAGGCATCTTCAGAAGCATGGACCAAGTACGGATCTTCCTGGTCATCCGTGAAAGATTCGGTAAATAAGTATTTTAGGTTAAAGGTTACATAAAAAAGTGAAAGAAAAAGTAGTGAACAAGGAAATAAAATTTGTCTATGCCATTTAACTTAGGGAAAGAACCAAAAGAGAACAATTTGTGAAGTATTATGTTAGTAAGTAAACTTGTTTTAAAGTCGGCATATATGTACACAATAACAATTTATTAATAAAGAAATGCACAGTTATCATGGTTATACCCTATACTAGCATGACTAGGGAGTAAGGTATATACAATGTATAAAATGAGATTCCTCACACTGTCAACGTATATTTGTTCCGCCTAACAGAAGTTCCACTGGAAACTTTGTTATAAACAATGTCATAATATCTGTTCCTGTTGGAACAAATATTCTATACCATTTATTCCGTTAGGAACATTTACTGTAATATTTATTCCAGTGGAAATAATATTCCAGAATATTGTTTCCATTTGGAACTTATATTATGAAGGAACTTCTGTTCCGTGACAACACATGTTCTTGCTCTTTTCCATACAATATTACAGTAGTTTATAAATCTTGACCCTCTATTATCATTTTCCACGTAAACACCCCAAAAGATTATTTAGAAAAAGGGGGTCCATTCCCCTAGCGCCTTTGTAATAGTAAATGATGATAGAAGCAACAATTACATTTGCTCCTTTGACCTGTTATAATTGCTATTATCAGAAGTCCATTACTAGAGGAAGTGTGCAACCCGCTATATAGTAAGGCGATCACGTTGTCCCCGTACTTCCAAGTTCCAACTGTGATTGAAACAGGATTTGAGCAAGATTGCTATATATAGTAACAAAAATCAATGGCCAAATTTTTTTGCGATGCATTCTGGGTAGAGATAATTTATGCAAACCACCCTATAACTTAATTAGCACACAGTTGAAAATAATGTTTGAACTTTGACCATCGACGTGTTAATGAATAGCAGATCCTAGATACCATATCATATCAGTGTCGTGAGTCATTATGATGGTTTTTAATTTTAAATAATAAAAATGTTTGTATTATTTATCAATTTAAAAACTACAATTATAACCGTCAGCTCAAATAAAAAAAGCTTACTCCTTAATACAATTCACGTTTAGTTTCAGAGCTAATTGTGAAAAAATTGCCATTTAAAAGTTGGCAAGTAAAAATGAGGTCGGAAAATTGTGTATCCATATACTGTATAAGTAACACTGGATTAGGAATGAGTTTAATAAGAATAAATGTTTTGATATATTTATTTTAAGAATGTATGTTACGATTTACAAATTTTAAGAAATAAGAGGTTGCACAGAAATTCTACAGATATAACCATTTTTAGCAAAATTAACAAATTGTACCCTCAATTTTGAAAAAAAAGAGGGAAAAATAATTGTATACCCTTTCTTCAATTTGGAATATCTTTGATCCTGCGTAAGATCTTGACGGTAATACTACCTTGGATGATGGTGTGGACAAACAAAGGTTGTCATTTCAGTCGGATATTGTCACATTTATCCATTTGAATACATGAAAAAAATGCAGTTCACAACACGTGTGTTCGACATATAGATCTTAGTTGAATAGGTTAAAATTGTAAAAGTTGCGATCTATACCTTTGTAAACAAATGAGTAATAAATACATAATCTTTATGTAAGTATACTTCATACTGAAATATGACAAAGTTTAACTTCAAAAACCTAGCTGTAGGACAATTTGTTTTAATTTGTTCAAATACTAAATCAATCTCAAGTTTTGAGTTGGGTAAGGACATATAGTAATCCCTGGAATTGTCCGGTTCCAGCAGTTAAACCCTTTCATACAAGTGTGGGATCAGAGACATATAATACAATGTATTATATGTCTCTGGTGGGATGTTTAAATTAGCAGCCACGTCAGGTAAGAGGAGGGACTTTAAATCCAGTAACTCGCGCATTCAGGATGAATGTTACGCTCTTTGCATGTTGAATAACACTTGCGACAACTCTTTGATGGAATATGAATGATATATTTGCCACTGAACGTTAAGCTAGCAACAAACAATAAATCAAAACTTAAATCCACATGATATGCAGGTGTCTTCAGTCTTGTGATTATAAAACGACCAAAAAAAGGACTAGGAGACGTTGCAACACTGACCGTCATGTATACATCTCATCATGGAGAACGTAATGACAGACAGACAGGAGTAAAGTATGTCTCTTTCTTTAAAATAGCTTAAAAACAGGAGAAATGTATTTCGGTAAAATTAACGAAGAAAAATAAATGTCTTTCACTTATACATCACGGTATATTGCTACCTTGATGCCGTAAATAACTGAGACATAATTCGTCAACACAACGTTCTATTCAAAAAAGGAAGCCATTATGACTATATTTTGACAAAAACAACTACATATTTTTAATAGATGATACATTTTAGTCCGACATGGCAGATTTTATTTGATTTTATAGTTCTCATTTGCCTTTGAGCGATGAAAAATGGTACCAATGTATTCTTTTATAAATTTTATATCATTTTCTAAGTGTTGAAAATGAAGCTAAATAATTGGCAATAAGAAACCACCGCACTAAATCGGCTCACTTTATTTTCAACAAACTGATAATTAATCAAACACTCAAGGAGACTAATTAACAGCTGTCTGTTTGATGATAATATTCTACCCATGATTCCATAGTTTAAAAACGAGATTTTGGAGGACCCCATATAGCGCTTTCCACTGATAACGGGGACAGTGTGATCGCCCAGCTATATAGTACAGCTTGCATTCACTTCCTCTAGTAATGGACTTCTGCTATTATTAATTATTTCAAAGATGTGTAAAATAACTTATACCAAGGATTTATATACTATATGATTTATATACTATATAAATCCTTGCTTATTCAGATAATTTTTAGTCAGTTTTTAAAAATAATCTGTTAATTTCTGTTAACTCTTCTCAATTTTATCAATATAGCCCAATCAACATGATCAAGCTATATAAGCTCATACTATGGATATACCCGACCTGTGAAAGTCGTCTATAGGACTAGGTCAACATGAAATGACTACATGCAATTGTTTCTATTTAAATATTTATTTCTGAATGCTAGAGTGACATCTGGTAGACATTACATGTAGGATAATCCTTGTAAACTTTTAGAAAAGCTATTTGATTCATTTATCTCAATTTGAAATTCTGTGACAATTGGTTATTGACCCAGTATTTTGAGGAGTTTAACCAAATGATAGAAAACTATAATTTTCATTTATATTGAATAGAGGGTGTCACCAATACATAAATATGTACCATGACAGGCTTGTGTTATGGGATGTTTATTGAAAAAAATATAATGGTATACTAGTTCTGTCTTTATTACACTCTAGTGTTTCTACCGGCGTGATTGAATATTCCATATAAAGAATATTTACAGTTATTGATGTCAAAATCAAATTTCTCTTGAATTTCATGTTATCTTTTTCAGATGTGGAACAGCCAATGGAACAATGTTGGATGATGATAATATTCACAGGCTTTATTCATAGCACTTTATCATTTTGTCCAAATGGTCAGTATTAGGATTTGTCCTGAACATGCATGAAATATTTGCCACTGTACATTAAGTCTATAAGTCTGTCAGATATCACTACACATAACAATATATTAGAATTGTTGCATATATATTTGTTTTAGGCTTTATGTGTTTCAGAATGAACCTTCAAAACTGCAAAATTTCTTTATTTTGAAATCTTCCCAATTATATTTGAGTAACAGCATTATCTAAAAATATATTTTCCACAAGATATTTTAAACTCATATGTTGATAAGCATCAAACATCATTTAGGGTAAGACTGTTACCTAATTTTATTTTAGAAAATACATGTGTAAAATGGGTTTTTTTCGTCACACATGTCTATTATCATGATAATGATATGGTTATGAAATCACAGCCACAGGACAAATTAATTTATGTTATTTCTGCACTAAAATGACCTGACTAAATCTTCTTATTCAGTTTATAATCAATAAAGCTAACATTTGAAAGGATTGATGAATTTATCAATTTTTGAAATTTCAAATGCCAAATAATAGCCAATTTTCCTTTTTAGAGAGGTGTAATGACATTGAGCAATATTCATTAAAAATGATACTGAGTTTTTGTTGGGTTTACCAGCGCATGCTATGAAAAATTATATATTTTTGTTTTGGTCAATTGTATTGAACACCAGCATTGACTAATGACTGAAATATTGTTGGTGTTTCATTTCAAGGAGATATAACAGTTTTAAACAAACTAACACAACAATTAGTGTCATTATGAATAAAAGATAAAATGTATGTCAATCAAAATATGAATTTATGGTATAAGTCTGTAGATGCCATTAATTATGTGTGATTCAGGTCAAAGTAAAAGTGAAACTAAGATGAGCTAATTGATTCATTCATTTTATATCTCTCAACTATTTCAGCTACCAACATCTGCAAGTTAGAATATATTCAAGTTAACAAACACGAAGACCTCCGCTGTCCTACCTCAGTAGATACTCATCTGATCAAATGGCATTACAGAGAAAATAATGACAGAAACTGGACTTCTTTTCAATTTAAATTCTGCCGTAATCGTCCAGACTATACTAAATGTGAAGTAAAAGATGGTGTGTTAAAACTGAACTATGCTTCCGCAGAATATGAAGGATTTTATAAATGTACTTCAAATCATACTGAACACTGCTTTGAATTGAAATTATATAGTAAGTATGACTAAAAGGAGATGTACAACCAATCACACAAAGAAATTATATAGTAAGTATGACTAAAAGGAGATGTACAACCAATCACATAAAGAAATTATATAGTAAGTATGACTAAAAGGAGATGTACAACCAATCACATAAAGAAATTACATAGTAAGTATGACTAAAAGGAGATGTACAACCAATCACACAAAGAAATTATATAGTAAGTATGACTAAAAGGAGATGTACAACCAATCACATAAAGAAATTATATAGTAAGTATGACTAAAAGGAGATGTACAACCAATCACATAAAGAAATTACATAGTAAGTATGACTAAAAGGAGATGTACAACCAATCACACAAAGAAATTATATAGTAAGTATGACTAAAAGGAGATGTACAACCAATCACACAAAGAAATTACATAGTAAGTATGACTAAAAGGAGATGTACAACCAATCACACAAATAATCAAAAGACATCTAGAGGGCAACATACAGTCTTCAACAATTGATAATTGTCTATTATACAATATCAAAATCATCCCCCCAAAAAATTACGCAGAACTTTAAAGTTTATTTTTGCAGTGGTAGAGAAGATGTTTGTTGAAAACTTGATAAAAATATAATCATTCCATTAACAATTTTGCCCATTATATGATAATATGGCAAACATTAGTTTCAAAATTCAGATAAGCTTTTAATATAGACAGTGAAATGGCAATCCTATTTTATTCTTATACCTCACTCTTCGAAATAATGGGGTTACATTGTTTATAGTTTTTGACTTGTCTGTCCATCAGCTTGTTATGCATCTTTGTTTCCAGATGCTCAATCAAATACTTTACATTGGATTGCAACCTTACTTGGATATATGGTTAGATATAATGAGAAGACATCATCCCCTATTGATTTTGGGTTCACTATATCTAGGGTCAAGATCAAAGTTACTAAAAATAGACAAAAATTTATGCAGGATAGTGGTTTCTGGAGCTAAATCCAATACAATTTTTGGGATTGCAACCTGACTTAATATATAGTGACATATAAATAAAAGAGGCAGATCTGTATTGATTTTGAGGTTACTTCGTCTTAAGTCAAGGTCGTAGTTACTAAAATCAGACTGAAATTTGTTAAGAAAAATGGTTTCCAGAGGCCTTAATCAATTTTTTTATTTGATTGCAAACTTACTGGATACTGGTATATGGTTACATGTGGTGAGAGGATGATCCCTATTGTTTTGAGGTCATTACATCTAAAGTTAAGGTCAGAGACTATAAATAGACTAAAAGTTGTACTGAAAAGTGCTAAAGTGCTTTTCAAATGATTATTCATATACTGCATATTGGATTGCAACCTTATTTGGATAATGGTCACATATAATGAGAGGAAGATCCCTATGGATTTTTAATTCTCTCGGTCCAAGACCAAGGTCAAAGTTGAACTATAAATAGTTTTTTGTTGGACAATATTTCTTGCTGAAATCATAACAGAAAAGAATCATACCTAAAAGTAAACAGAAAAAAACTATATCATCAGGTCACTTTAAGCTCTTCCCCATTAAATGTAGGTGTGTGGTATATGACATGTATGAGCTTGCAAACTAGAGGTGCTATTATTGATGTAGTAGAAGAACTCTCTGAAAGCTATAGGTAAAATTCAGTAATTTCTAATTTTAATTTATGTAAAATTTCTTAGAGTCGGGGTGCTTCGGTGCTTCGGTGGCAGAGTGGTCTAAGTAGTTCCAACTACTGTATCACTAGCCTGTCAGCACTGAGGTTGTGAGTTGTAACCCAGCACTTGGCAGGTGTGTTCCACTCCAATCTTTATTGACTAGGATTCCATGTGCATGATTTTCTCGCTGCATTGAATGAAGACCCTTTGGTGGCCTTGGGCTGTTTTCTTCTCTTTGGTCAGGTTGTTGTCTCTTTGACACATTCCCCGTTTCCATTCTCAATTCTAGGATTGCCAGTTTTCCTGCCCAAGGTTGGTAGTTTTCCTTAGACACTCAGGCCTTCTCCACCAATAAAAACTGACTGCCACAAAATAGCCAAGAAAGTTGAAAGTGGCATTAAACACCAACAATCAATTAATCAATCAATCTTACAGTCTGTGATGACTAAATGCTTGATGACATTTACAGTTTTGTTTTATTAACTGTAAGATGTTGCACTGAACAACCTTTTTCACAGCATAATCTCAGTTATTCTTATGACCTTGTTTCCAGCTGGTTAAAATACCAGTCTAAATAGAAAGAAACATTGATCATTATGTAGACTATGACTAAAGACAAATATCACAAGTTACTCAAGAAATAAATAATTTACCGGGAGATTCAGAAGCAAGATTATGCAGCATTAAACATGTGGGAGGTTATGACTTATTTGACAATGGTATTTAATGTGGTTTCTTTGGCAACACATTATATTTTGCAGATTTTTCCTGTTTTTTTTTTCTTTTTAGATTGTGACAAAAGAGAAGAACAACTAATATATGAACCACCCAAAGAAATATTAGTACACAAGAATGAGAGATGTATGATTAGATGTGGAGCAGATTTTGGTTGTGACATTGGCATTAAGGGAACTATTTCCTGGGAACACAAAGGGCAGATAATTAATGAATCAAATCATCCATATCAAACTTGCGTTAGGTTCGTATTATTTGTAGAGTATTTTCATTCATCGCTTGATGGTTAGTATAGCATTAATCATTGAAAAGTAATATGATGATTTTTCTGTTTTGTATGCATTTTATAAGTTCTTTTCATGCCAAATTCATTATCAGCCTAAGATCAAATAATCAGCCACTGAGGGATTAGGCTCAAGGACTGATACAAAATGTATAATGAACCAATGCTGAAAATGTAATATTATGATCTTTAAATTATTTCTACAACAATTACAGAACATATAAATGGATTTGCTGTCTGTCATATTTGTTTTTATTTATTGTTTTGCCATCAATGAGGCTCTTGCTGTTCTCGTTTGAATTATTTCATCACATTTTGTTGTATTTGGGCCTTTTATTGCTGTCTTTATGGTATGTGTTTTGCTCATAGTTGAAGGCCGTACAGTGACCAATAGTTGCGTACATGCACATCATTAAATTCAACAAACAAAGGTGTTTCTGGAGAGAAATTCTTCTTAAGTCTGACCTCCATATACAACATAGAGTTCTAACCATTTGAATCTGATACCACAAAAATAATGTTATATAGTGCCATAAATAATAATAAATATGTAATCATAAGCAAAAAAATGTGATAATAAATGTAAAGTGACAGGTTTTCTACCAGGTACAATGTAAGTAATTATTCCATTATTGTAAGTTTGTTTTGTATTGGCAGAGATGGCTATATATCCCATAATTGTCATGTTCTGTAACCCTTGGTGTATCGGGGGGGGGGGGGGGGGGGGGGGGGGGGCACTTTGCATGAATAAAAAATAGTTTTTTTCTGCAAAGGAGATGAAGCATCAGCTATAGAGTTACATTTGCAAGGAACATGTTAAGGCACATACAATTTTGTTGAGCTGCTATGAATGTTAATATCCTTACTAGGTAAAATATCAAATGATTTCCAATGGCCTTTTTGTAAATGAGAATAATTCTCTATTGATTTTGTGCATCAAAAGTGCTTTTCTGGATTAAACTTCAGGAAACCCAAACTATTTAAAGTCAAGGATGTACAAGACCCAAACAATAACATAAAAGGTACCAATTTTACTGCATCATATGTGCATTTCGACATTTAATGTCTCTTCAGTGATGCTTGATGCCAGTGAGGAGCTATATGACCAAAAGGGAGCTGAAAATATCCGAAATTCATCTAAGGTTAACTTTGCCTGTGGAAGTCGGAATCTTAGTTTCTTAAAATTTTTGAAATTATGAACGGAGAATTTCAAGAAGAAAAGACCTAAAAAAAATGTCAGTACAGAAGCACTGACTACTGAGTTGATGATACTCTCGGGGACTATCAGTCCACCAGGAGTGGTATCAACCCATTGCTAGTATAGGAAAATAACACTTTATTAATGCATGCGTTTGAAGCACTTTTCAAGAAAGCAGAATTGACAAATCAAAATTAAGTTACCATAGCTACTGTGCCTCGTTGTCATACATAAAAATATTCTTTGTCCCCCTCCTCTAAATAACACCATTCCAATGTAATAAAAAAGAAACAAATATACATATAAGAATATATATAAATTAACATTTTGAGACAAAAACATCGTTAAAAAAAGTTGTGATTCAAACAGGTTTATCTGTCGTCAGCCTTGCCTCCATTGAATCCAAAATAATACCAAGACATTCAATAATCATGTCTGGACCTGTTATTTTATGCTTAGCCATTGGAATCTTTATAAAAAAGAAGATGTGGTATGATCGCCAATGAGACAACTCTTCACAAGAGACCAAATGACACAGAAATTAACAGCTATAGGTCACCGTACGGCCTTCAACAATGAGCAAAGCCCATACCGCATAGTCAGCTATAAAAGGCCCTGAAATCACAAATGTAAAACAATTTAATTGAGAAAACTAACGGCCAAATTAATGTACAAAACAATGAACGAAAAACAAATATGTAACACAGCAACAAACGACAACCACTGAATCACAGGCTCCTGACTTGGGACAGGCACATACATACAGAATGTGGCGGGGTTAAACATGTTAGTGGGATCCAAACCTTCCCCCTAACCTGGGACAGTGGTGTAACAGTACAACATAAGAACGAACTATTAAAATCAGTTGAAAAAGGCTTAACTCATCAGATGGATACAAATAGAAATACATATAACAATAACACGTGGACGTGACCGGGGTACTTGTACATTTAGTCTGTCAAGAATGAAATTCAATAAATCCTTATTTCTCTGTTCACATTTATTGGGATGTTCGAATGTGATGAAATCAATGCATTTTTAGGAGGTGCAGAATAAATTTGATGCCAAAACTGTTTGAGTTCCAACACACTGCTTTTGACAGGTTATCAAAAATTATTGCACTTGATCAGCAGTCAATAGCAAGTTACGTATAATAATAATAAATGTTCCGCCATGTTATACAACGCATATGCCACTGTGAGGGAATATAGGCATTAATTTGCACTCATCGGATATATAGGTTTTTACACATTGTCATGTATTTTCCTAATATCTGTTTAATTTGTAATAAGTCATCAATACGCACAAAGAATAAAGAGCAGCTATCTTTGTTAATCGTGTCATTCACACTTTGATGCACAATATCTTCATGAGGGGAAAACAAGTTCACTATTAACCTGTGCTTTCTTGTGCCCCCTTATGGAACTACATATATGGTTAATGCATAGACTTTCTACCTGTTCCACTCCAAACATTGCATAGTTTGGGGCCCTTGGCTCCCTTTTTGAAAATCCTGGATCTGCATCTGCATAAAATCTTTATCAGGATGATTACTTAACTCCTGTTTTAATGTGTCTACATTGATACGTGGTTCCACAATTTTTTTGGTATCCAAAAATGTCACTTACTGACATTATGTTGCCATGTGTTACCATCTATCAACTCAAGACAAGAAGACAATGGTTCAATAATGATATATGCTTGCAATGGACGTAATTGTTGACACTAGATTCTATGATCAACTCGATCGATAACCAACATTTTCAATTAACATTACAGTCTAGATATGGATTTATACATGTAAATCACTTCAGAATTGTATGAAAAATATTCTCACCAAGACCTTAGTGTTCAAGTTGTTTAGATTTACTTTTTTCTCTACTATTTATTAAAATGTTGTTTTGGTGAGCCAAATGGGTCCGAATGTACCCTGATTTTTTTTCAAGAGTAAGCAGAAATATATGAATAATATTAAATCACAGAACCCCAATTCAATCCATCATTTGCTAAAATGTTTAATTTTTCACCTTTTTTCTTTTCTTTTCTAAAATCATATAATTTCCTTTTAAGAATGTGAAATCCTTATCTGTAAATAGATAGTTGTAAAATTAAAAGCCTGATGATTGGATGGTTTTACTTTTTGGAATGCACTGAATGCATGTGCGGAATTATCTGAGCTGAAGACAGAAATAGGTCATCGCTTCACAAGGAAATTATTCAAAAATGGGACAACTTTAGAAAAGATTTATATATATCTATTCCTTGATGGTTACATAGATTATGTTGTTACCGGTAATAGAGACCTTCTTTTTTTTAATGTTTAGTCCCTGCCCATAGTGGATTATGGCAGCTACACCTCTAATTTGTTTGTTTACAGTACTTGTGAATGGGATATATATGGTGAAAAAATAAGCATCATTTGAGCTTTTTCTTTCTTTCTCAATTTATTTTTGGCAGCGTAATGTCCAAAGGGTTATATATTTCATGCATTTTCAGGATGAGACTCTTGTGTATTCTAGATGGTGATTATATTATAATGGATAATGCCAGATGCAGTTTGTTCATTTTGCCATGAAAAGTAATAAGACATTACTATGAACTAATGTAATTTTTATAAAGTATCTTAATATTTTAAACTGAGCAGTTTTAAAAGATGTTTGGTTGACCCTGTTAATCTATTGGAACTATAATGCTTTATGGTCTTATATTTTACAGCAAAAACATAACAAATATAGAATCTCAACTGACAATCCAAAGAGTGAAAAAAGATGACATATATTATCCATTTGTATGTGTAGTAAAAGATAGTAAAGGAACAAATGTCAGACGGTTCAATGTTACGCTTATAGATATGGGTAAATAGTTAAATTGTATATAATGTCAGTAATGATGATTAGAGTTATTAACAAGCCATATGAACATTAAGAAACAAGAGGCTGTCAAAATGACAGCAAAGCATGTTTTCCTTACATTTATTAATGACATTGTTAAAGTATTCAAGGGTCATTATTCCTGAACAAAATAAGTGGTAATTGTCAAATTCAAACCCCAATTTTCAAACCAAGAAACAGCATAATGATATTTGACAGAGATTGTTTTCAAAGATTATGAAGTCATCCATGAAAACAACATAAATAGCCTTCAAAAAATCAATCTAGGACCATTATATTAGATAGTCAATATCTAATTAGACCTATATTTTGTCATGAAAAAATATTAAACTTTCAAAAGAATTGGTTGAACAGTTTTCATAATGCCAGACTAACAAAGATAGAACAAACTGTATGTAGCTTACACTTTCTCTATAAAATACAAACTAAGTGAAATATAGATACAAGGGTACACAAAATGAAAACAACACTTTAAAAACCTCATGTGTCAGAATCGCACCTGGAACGCCCAAAGCCACTTCAAGAGTGATACAACCAAAAGGAACATAATAGCACCAAGACAAATAAAGGAAAAACTGTAAAGTAAATATAGATACACAAGTTCAGCACCTACAATCTATAACTTAAGACCATCTTGTATTAATTGTGAAGTAGACGCTGAATATTATATTTATCTATTAGGTCTTGGTACTTTCCAATGAACTTTTTGAGAAAAAGGAAAGACGTTCTTTAACAAAACCCTTGTTCATCAATTTTTTCCTCAGACCCCGATGATGTTTAACAAAGTCTGAGTAGCAGCTGCAAGCTCTTGAATATCATATGAGTTGAGAAAAGTATACTCCATAGGTGGGTGAAGTTGGTATATTGTGCTAAGGTGAGGAAAATTTATAATTTCCAATTTGAAATTGTCTTGTTTGTCATAGATATATTAAAGTGACTATGAAAGCAAGATACCAAGTATTTTCAAAATGATGACTTTATACAATAGCTCTCAGAGCTATTTGGTATAGCTTCTTAACAATTGAACAGTTTGATTAGATTGTACAAGAAGCAATTGGGTCAAATTTTTATTGACTTCTTAAGAGAGACTTAAATACTAATAGTCAAGTCAGTGTTAATGAGAACTTACTTTTTTATATTTCAGATCCTAAATATACAACAAATTATGAGACCTATACGGTAATTGTGTTGGTGTGTGCTTTATTTGCGGCATTAGTAATATTAGGAATAATTATGATATTTTATCCAGGAAAATGTTTTAGCATTATGACTCATTGTTCATGCCTTAGCAGAATGTGTTGTTTAGGTAAATATGTTTTTTTCCCTAAAGTTAAGAAAATAATTCATTGTAAAAATATAACATTTCAATTAGGGTTCTCCCTTCTTGTAATAATGCAGTAACACAAAGCAAAAAGTGACATTTGTAATTTCACTCCAAAGGGTCAAGTGAGCTTTTCTCATCACTTGTTGTCCAATGTCCATCGTCAGAAAAAATTCTGAAATTCTATTGCAATTTAAAGAAATTGTTGTGCTAATTAAGAGACTTGCTATCATTGATTCACATTTAGCTCATTTTATCTACTGATATCTAACCTGCAGTTAATGCATTTGCCAGCAATAGTGCTACATTAATGTTCTTTTTTGTCCACACCATACCCAAATATAATTTGAAATTATTCAATCTACTATTCCAATCTTTCCATGAGTGATTTCAATCACTTTGATTTTGTCCCTGGTTGAATAGCACTTTCTGGGAGGTGGTGTTGGAAGGGGGAATAGAGATCAGCAAATTTCAGGGAAGGGGTTAAAATGTATTTTAATATATAATATTTTTTAATTTGAATTTTAATACCGTAAATTCAGAACTTTTTGCAACCATTTATTATTGGGATTATATAACTATGGATACATATGTGAGATTGACTATTGAATTGAGATTTCAGGAAATGCGAAATAAAAATAATGCTTACAAAATTTTATATGTAAGTTTTTATTTTTATGAAACCTATTTCCTGTCGTAATTTTGGAAATAATAACAGTGCAAAAAAGTATGAAATTACAGAACTGTATCAGTGATGTAGAAGTACACTGAACATTTGGGTAGGGACAAACTTCTGAAAGAGACAAGCAAACAAAAAACCAATAGTCTGATAGTCTAGTGATTAGTCAGTTTTTTCAATGAAAAAAAATATAGCAAAAAGGATGGGAGGCCTCCTTGAACCCCCACTGCTCCTATATACATGTAAATAAAAGTCAGTCTAAACTTGGACAAAAAACTGCTTGTCATCAAACAGTAGTGAATGGAGGAAAAATTCACCAATGTACAGGTAGAAGATTTGAACACCCCTCAGGAGAAAGGTTTTTAGAAGGTGCATTTTCTTACTGATATCTGGACAGTTGACTCTACAATATTCAATTTTTAACTGACAATACTAACTTGAAAATTATTTTCTTTCTAACAGGTTCTTACAATTATGATGTGTTTATTCTTTATGATGATGAAGATGAACCTCTAGCAAGTAAAGTTAAAGACGCACTTAAAAGCAAAGGCTATAACATTGCCGCTATGGATATTATTGAACCAGGATATGGTAAATTCTAATTAAAATACAAAAATACCTTAATGCTTGTATGAAGGGAAGAATATCAGAAATATAGACATAGACAACCCTGTCAACTTTCTGAAAAAGAATAGACTTATCTAGTGGAAAATACAGTACTTCAGTCATTAAACTCAGAAGAATAGCAGTGGCGAAGCTGCAATTAGGTACAATAGGCACTTGACTACCAGTGCACAATATTTTTTCAAAAATTAAAAATGAAACTATCAAAAATAATTTTCTTACTTTTCATGAACTTGATAATCATGGCCCTTTCTAGCTGATGATTAGATTTATTGAAAAGCACCTGAAGTTGTCAAAACTCTTTAACTATCCAATGTCAAATGTACACTAGTCCTGTCATCATTGATGAATGAAGTGTTGCAAAAAAATGTAGTCCATATATTCAAACTTCATGATAGAGACTATTGAATTGTTAAAAATGTCAACCTAAACTAACCTGAACCTAAACTTAAAACAAGAAGAGACTAAATCGGATTTGAAGACATGATTTTTTTTCTCGGGACAAACTCTTTTTTTCACTTCCCTACTGAATTTTTTTTTTTCAAGCAATTTAGAATCAGCTGATTTATTTATTCCCTTCAAAGAAAATGAATGGTCCTTGCCTTGTCCAATTTGATGAATGGTAACCAGGTGTTAGTATTCTGTTTCCATACCAGATTTTATTGATGAAGAATCCTTGATATTTACAATTCTTTTACATATTTATCAATTAAAGTCAATCAGAACAGAATAGATATATAAAGATGTTAATGCATGATAACAGTCAGCTGTAATTGTAAAATCATTTAAAATTCTTAGAACTTTTTTTGTGTATATTTTCATAATAAAATGACCAGTTAATATTATGTTTTGTACGTCAAATTTTCAAATTTTGCATCTATAAATGCTGAAAACCGTTTTCCATTAGAGGGCTTTGCCCCCCTGAACCTCCTGCCCAAATGTGTGCCTACAATTCATTTCATATTCTAAGCTATGCCCCAGAACAGTACATATTTCAAAGAGTGCAAGTAACACAATTTAATATAGTACCCACTACCTACTGTGTATATAAAGAATTTGTCTGTTCTTACACAATATATAGACAAATATAGCTGAGAGGGGGTCTTTAATTCAATATGACAGTTTTAGATGTCCTAAGTCTCCATACTTAAATTTAGTTTAATCTCTTACATGTATACTATTGGTACCAGTAAAAAGGTCTGTCACAATCTCCATTATAGTTGACCTGTTGGATATAGGATATATGTTGGATAATAATGATGACACTGATTAAAGATAGAACACAGTTAGGTTTTTGTCGTCGCAGAAAGCAAGACATAGGGATAGTGATCTGGTGGCGGCGTTAACAAACTCCATAAAAGCTTCATATTTCAGAAAGTAGAAGACCAGGATCCTTCATACTTTGTATATAGATGCTTTATGTTATTAAGTTTCTGTCTGTCGTATGTCCAATGTCTTTGACCTCATTTTCATGGTTCAGTGACTACTTGAAAGAAAAGTAAAAAATTTTAGTATTCTTAATTTCTCTCTTATTGTGAGTAAAAGGATAACCATATTTAGTATGTGCGTACCTTGCAAGGTCCTCATGCCTGTCAGACAGTTATGTAGGAGTGGAATACCAAAGAAGTTATGGGAACTTTATTGACCTTATCATATATTTCTGATTGTTTTCCCAACCTATTCACATATTTTGAAGCTTGAAAAGGTGACCTATTCCAGCGGCACGTCCTATCACCTTGTTTTTTTTTTTTTTGTTGGTAGTTTGAAAAGTTGTTGAGTTAACAAGTCAAGGAATTAATTAAACGTCTAATTAATCCCACTGTAGAATCTTTAGGTCACATTATGGCATTTTACAAGAAGCAATTCTTCATACTAAATAAAGATGAACAGCTCTTAATGGCCAATGAAACAATTATAAGCATGACAAAACAAAAAGTTGCAGAATTATTGAATATTTGATTAATTTTTTTTCAGATTCAACTAAAGAAGTTAAGGACATAATCAAGGAGTGTGCCAGTTTACTTGTAATTTACCCAGGATTTTATATTTCTGAAACCTTTGATCATCAGTTAACTTTTGGAAAACAAACTATAGAACCATATCTGTTATCAGTATTGGTACATACTCATCGTAGAGGGAACTGCATGACAGATAAGACTTTTAAATCACTGGGACTAAAATGTTTTGTCTTTGATGACAATTTTTATAGCCGTATATTTTGGAGATTACCAAAGTTAAAAAAGTTAAAGAAAAGCAAGAAATATTATCATAATTATTCAACATGTAATATTTTATATTAAAATGTTTTGATAAACATTCTGTCTTTTGTTGAGGTTGTTATAGTATTTACAGCAGAAAGAGTGAGGAATCTCCAGAGTGGTAGTCACACACAATATACAATGTATAATTTTTTATTTGGTAATCTACTATAGCACACAAAACTTAAAGTAGCTAGTCTTTCTTTTACAGAATGATGATGGTTTTAATGAAGAAAGCCAAAAATCTTACAATGATGGAAGTATTAATATTATAAAATAAATATACCCAAAATTATGAGTTGTTTTTATTAGAATGAGGCTTACTAGCATATATTATCCTGCCTTCATATTCTTGTTTATTATTTTATGTTTTCCCGTTTTAATCTGAACAAAAGCAATGCCAACTAGTTGTTTAAAATGAGGCTACAATCTGCCAACACAATTTGATGAAAGAAAATGTAAAGAGGTTATCATACACTTTTCTTGAAATACAAATTTCTATACCATTTATCGCACTCTGAACAAAAATTAGAAGATATCAATGGGAAAATCAACATCATAGAAAGACTGACAAAACTATTGTCATGAGAAAAAGAATTTGTCGACAACACATTACCGGTACATCAAAAACTAAAGATTGAGCAGCATAAGTCCCCCAAAAGCAGTGAATAACGAAGATGTTTGGGAGGATAAGCAGTTTCTATCCATAAGGGACATCTGTAGTGTTATTCATGTTAAAGTCAGAGAATATTTCATTATTGTTGATGAACTATCATACAGTAGCCAGTAGGTATATGTCTTGTCTTACCCTATGACATCACCAAATTCATATATCGTTATTACTAAATTTGAAAGTTTGAAATGTAAATATGAACAGCTTTTCAAGACAAGGCATGAAATAATGATAGGAAAATAACTTAAACATTAAACAAATAGAAAATCACAAATTTTAACATTGAAAAACTAAAGTAAAAGCAGCATGGACCCCACTCAAAATAGGAAGTGAACTCATGCTCTCTGGAAGGGTAAGCAGTTTCTGTTCCACCAGTGATTCTTGTCATTTCTGGATTTGCATATTCAAGTGTTAAAAGTCATTTGCCCATGGGGTTAGTTATAGCAGACTTTTACATCTGTGTTCACACAGCAACTTCTTGCATGAGTAAAAATATTACTGCTGTCTAACAGGTTGCCCAAATTTTAACTGAAAAAAATGGAAGCTTTATTACTTAGCACAAACTACCCTTCAAGTTCTCAGTAAGAACTGAGACATAGTATAATAGTCCAAGGTAAGAGGCAGATCTATAATCACCATCAATATAAATAAATTGGTGGACACCAACAAATTATACATTTGTGTTCTTGACACGTAAACATTATCCTAATAAAGTGTAAATTGTAAACATCTGTCATAACCCACAAATGTCTAAATGCCTTGGACAAACAAACAAAAAAACAAGTGTCAGACTATTTTCCATGTGAGGACAAGCATAAAATGATTAAGATAGTTTCTTGGTTTTCTGGTTTTGTTTTTTTTAACAGTTAATTTTGTTTTGATAAAAGCCTAAAGAAAATCTGTAGCACACTGATAAAGCATTATATTGTTGCAGTTTATTTCTTGCTGAAGTTAGATGTTGTTAGAATCCATATAGAACTGATTTTTATACGACCGCAAACATTTTTTGGGGTTCGTATAATGCTATGATGCTGTCGTTGGTGTCGTTGCTGTCAGAAGACACATTTGGTTTCCGGACAATAACTTTAATTAAAGTGAATGGATCTCTATGAAATTTTACAAGAAGGTCCAATACCACAAAAGAGAGGTTGGGATTGATTTTGAAGGTTATGGTACCAACAGTTTAGGGATTAGGGGCCAAAAACAAGCATTTTTGGAGTTTCCAGACAATAACTTGTGTTTAAGTGTATGGATCTCTCTAAAATTGTATTACAAGGTTCCATACTACAAAGGGAAGGCTGGGATTGAGTTTGGGGGTAATTACTCCAAGGGTGGTCAAAAAGATTGGGGGGGGGATTTTTTTTTCTTCAAAATTTTTGATTGAGCAGTATAGCGCAATATATTTTTAAGATCTTTGACCTCATTTATTGTGTGTCAGAAACCTATATAATGTAAAAAGTTTGATCACAATCCAAATTCAGACAGTATCAAGCTTGAATATTGTGTCCAAACTTGCCCCAACTGTTCAGGGTTTGACCTCTGTGGTCGTATCAGGCTGCGCCCAGCGAAGCATTTTATTTTTCTGTAGTATCAAGTTGGGTTTGCATTTGGTGTCTGACATCATTTTATGCCTGTCAACTTTTTAAAAAAATCTCTGAAACCTCAGGTTTAATTGAAACCACGCTTGTTAATTTACAATTATCCTTTTGATGAATTTCATGTTCCAAATAATCAACCAACATGGCAATCATTACAAAAAATATAACATCGCAGAAATCAAACACATGGTAGTTTTTGATCACCTTTGTTGTTGAGATTTATCTTATTTTCAGTTTATAGTTGTGTAATAAGTAGTAACATATAAAATTAATATTGTGACAGTTAGCTTACTTTAGTCCTAATTAGGGACTTAGAAAATGGCATTACATTGACTTGATTATAGATGTTGAGCTAATTATTGCCATGTGACTTGGAAAATTTCTTTTAAAACAGTTTTGATCTTGGTTTTGTGATACAGAAAAAGAATAACAGGAATTACGAAAAGTATTGAACACTTAAAGATCCAAACAAACACAAACACCAACTTCTCTGAAAAATTGAAAGTAAAAACAAAGAAAAAACACAAAAACATAACATTACCAATGTAGCATGACTTGGTACAGACCCAATACGTGCCTTCTTTGTATATTACGGTTAAAATTGTATAATGATTGTTTCAAGATCGTATCTAGGTCTGATTAACATAATAAGTTAGGGTTTGTCAAATTCTCTATCTAGTTTCAGGCGATTTGCCATGGCTTATAATATGATAAATCCGAACATCAACATTTCAGTTTCAATCGGGACAAAAACTCTTGAGACGTAAATCTTTACCAAACCAGGAACATATATATTGGTTAGATATACTGTTCCCAGACCAAACGTAGTTTGATAATTCCCCAATGAGGTAAAAATGATCATTTTTGGTCAAATTGGCTTTTTTTGGTTTCTGAGTGATAAATATTGAACCATATGTCCAACCCTAAAAATGCCCGTACAATGAACATGAGAACATTTTTGGTCACTTGCAAGTCAAAAGTCAAGGTCTCAGTGCCTGTCGACAGTGAAATTTCAAGTGGTGAAAAGTTTCGTTTCTGGCCAGTATTTTTTAGCTATTAATCTGATCTTTACTACTTTTTCATGTATAAAGAAACTTAAGATGAAAAAAAATCTTTATTGATTTTGAGTTCACTTGGGGACATAAACTTGTCAGCAGACTTTACAGTATGCATCACCAGTACCAACAAAAAAAATCGTTAAAGAAATAACAAAAACTTCTACTAAAAAGTCCTTAAAGTTCATCTCCGCTAATGGTCGTGACTATTTTTTCTAATTGGATTTCTAAAGAACTTTACTGAAATTACGGTGCCGTGGGTCGTCAAAGTGCAGTTCATATAGGAAACCTTGGAGCAGTGTATGTCAGGCAATATATATGTTCCTGCACAGACTTGGGGCAAAGTTTCTCAGTGTCTCTATATTGAAGTAAATCCATTGTCAAGCAGATAAATAATACACCATTCGTTTCTTTATAGAAATAAGAAGTATAGTAGCATTGCCAATAATACAACTGTCGACCAGAGACTTGTTCGTTTTCTTCACGAATGCATCCTTTAACTTACTTTTTTTACTTTAAATAAGAACTCATTATACATATCCGTAAAATATAGTTTATCTTTATCTAGTTCTCCTGTCTGACATTGTGTGAATTAGGGATACACATGAAGTTTGTGTTATCAATCCACAGGAAAATATTTGGTGAGATCTGGAACTGATAGGTCCATGTTGTAGTCCCAGGTGAAATTTAAAACATTTTCTGCTGTGTATATTTGATCATCGATACAAATGTATATATATATATATATAGAGAAGTCTACAAAAAGGACCAACCAGCAAATTTAATATGTACCGGAACGTCTAGAATAGACGATACTGCGCAGATAAGGAAAACATTATATAAGTCTAGAGATTTGCACAACGGTACTAATATAAGATGGTAATATACGAAGACGATGTTATAAAATCGTGTTGACAAATATTTCGGCTTAACAATTAGCCTTAGTCAGTGTCAATAATTTAAGAAATATATATATATATATATATGTGTGTGTGTGTATATAGCCATTTCTCTCTATTCTTTATTTTTCAGTCCATTATTCTCAATTCTGCATGTAAACCTCATTCAGACCCTCATATGTAACCGTATATGTAAGAGATAAATTTGTCCTGGTAAAATATGTCCGGGCGGACACATATTACTAGTATAAAAAGTCCATGGTTACAGAATTTACTAGTATTTTTAGTCCGATGTTAGTAATTTATGTCCCCAGACTAATTTTCCTAGGAATTCAAGTCCATGTCATTAATATTCCTAGGTAAAAACGTCCATGTTCTTTTTTTTTTATAGGAAAAATATTAATGAATCAAATCATTTACATTTAAATAATATTGGAAATTTAAATATTAAGTTTTAATATTGTTTAAGAGTTGTGCATTTATATTTTTAATAAAATTCATGTCCCCAGACTAATTTTCCTAGGAAATCATGTCCATGTCATTGTTATTCCTAGGTAAAAACGTCCATGTCCTTTATTTTAAAAGGTAAATATAAATGTTATGTTTTAATATTGTTTAAGAGTTGTGTATCAATTTTTTTAATATAATGTTTGTCTCCAGACTACTTTTCCTAGGAAATCATGTCAATGTCATTAATATTCCTAGGTAAAAACGTCCATGCCATTTATTTTAAAAGGAAAATTTTAATGAAACAAATTATTTACATGTTAACAATGGAAATTCAATTTTTATATTTTAATATTGTTTAAGAGTTGTGCATTAATATTTTAATAAAATTCATGTCACCAGACTAATTTTCCTAGGAAATCATGTCCATGTCATTAATATTCCTAGGTAAAAACGTCCATTCCCTTTATTTTGAAAGTTAAATTTAAATGTTATGTTTTAATATTGTTTTAGAGTTGTGTATTAATATTTTTATAAAATTTATGTCCCCAGAATAATTTTCCTAGGACATCATGTCCATGTCATTAACATGCCTAGGTTATAACGTCCGGCAGTGTCCTTTTATTTTAATAGGAAAAATTAATGAAACTTTTCAATCTTAACTAAGAAAAATGTTTTTTTTTATTTTCAATAATTTTTAAAATATAATAAAAATTACTAGAAAAACAAGTCTTAGGACAATTTTTCCTATGAAAATAAGTGCCAGACATATTTTACTAGCTATGGACTTATTTTCCTAGGAAAATTTGTCCTGGTACTTAAATTCCTAGTAAAATAATGGTCATGGACTTGATTAACTAGGGAAAAAAGTCTGGCGGACAAATTTTACTACCGGACCAAATTTACTGTTACATATATTCTTAAATGTAAAGAAAGTATCAGATTAGTTTCTTTACATCATCCTATTCATATTTGTTTCGTCAACATTCTTTTTATTATAAGGTTTGTTTTAGACCCCTTGGTATTAAATCACTGTGATAGATGAGATATAAAGATTAGAAATGATAAATGATGCATTCGATTGTGATCAAATATGTTTAATTTAAAGTATATATTGACTGTCAGGGTATAGAAATATGACTTGTAAAAGACTTTTTTCGGTACAGGTTTCTTTACCGGTACTAACATTTATTTTATTTTTACTGAATAGTTTAATTAATAAGTAAACTACTAGTTGGAATGTTAGTATAGTAGGAAGATTATTATGTTGATTTATCATTGGGACTAAAATGTCCTGCAATAGGTCAAGTCTTCTTCAACGGTTACGATACATGCACTAGAAAGACCGTGACTATCTCTCAACATAAACCAATGGACTAAACGTCTGATCGGATGAATCTGATCCGCCCTTGGCTGCGTATAGGTGTATCCCCTTTCACAGGAATGGTGTTACAAATGATTGGTACCGCTTGATACTGCCCGTCTGTATTCGTGTAGATCATGGCAATACGACGTGTAGTGTTTGGTACAATACCAAATTATAACTTCCCTCTTTGGTAAATTGAATCGATAGTTTGAAGATTTAAAACTAAGATTATGCTCCTGACTTGTGACATGCGGTATTAAACATACTTTCGGTGCCGAATCTTACCCATAACCTGGAACAGTGTCGTAACAGCACAACTTCAGAACAAAAGGTAAACATCAGTTGAAAAGGAGGTAACTCAACAAATTGATACAAAGCACCCACATTGAAAAAAAAGACTACAGACACAAGCTATACCAATCCGAGAGTACTAGTACTCGCAGTTACTGAAAGCTAGTTGAAAGCCAATAACAACAAATACAAACTTTTAAGTCGATTATTCTTTTTCCTATTTTTCCCTTTTACCCACATCTTATTATAAAGTTTTGTATCGCTTGCGACGAAAGTGGCAGCATGCGAGACATAAGGATTACCAGCCGGAGACACCGGCGTAAACTATTTGTATAAAGCTTTATATTTTAAAGGCAGAGAGTAGAAGACTGGCATGGATGTTTCATACCTTGTATACAGATGCCTTATGTTACGAAGTTTCCGTCTGTCATAGTGACCCATTTAAAAAAATAAGGAGATGTAGTATGATTGCCAATGAAACAGCTATCCACCAAATTTCTAATGAAGTGGATGTAAGCAATTATACTTTAGACAACAATGAGAAAAACACATACCGTATATATACTGATATAGTCAGCTATAACTTGACAGCCCCGACATGAAAAATATGACGCTATTCAATTGAGAAAACTAACGACCTAATTTATAACAAAACAAATTTCGACAAACAAATATGACAGTCATGAATCAACTACAACCTGACTGAAATACAGGCTCCTGACTTGGAACAGTAACATAAAGAATTTGGCGGGGTCAGTAAACATGTATGCAGGCTCCAAACCCTACCCTTACCTGGGACAGTGGTGTAACAGTACAACATAAGAACAAACTATAAAAGTCAGTTGAAAAGGGCTTTACTCATAAGATCGATATAAAACAGAAAAACATCTAGCAAAGACACAGACCGAACGTGGCAGGGATTTATACATACATCACAACAACTTGAAAAGACACAACTTGAGTACAGATCTAAGAGTACTCGCAGTTACTGGTAGCTAGTTCAAAGCCAATAACAACTAGTAAAAAATCATTCGACATATTTTTCGTACAAGTGTGGATAGTAAACCCCCATTGACAGAAACAAATGACTGTGGAACTAACTTATAAAGGAATGCGTAGTTGTATATATACCGTTATTTTAAAGTCTTTATCTATTTTGTGACTGTCTTGTACCAAGAAAACAAGTCCCGTGGTCCCAGTTTTCCTTTTTCTTTTCTGAAAGCACATCAGTAGGGCTATCTTCTCATATTTTATCTTAAATTTGTTTATTTTACATAACATATTATTCCCAGATAAGCTAAGCTATTTTATAAATTCCCGGGGTTTTAGTAACAAATGATAACCAATCAAATAATGCACTTTTGACATTTCCGGTTAAAAATAACACGTGATAAAATTCCCGCAAATTCAAAAAACCAAAATCAAAACAGTTACTGAGCTAGTGCAAGGATTTTAATAGTATTACTATTAAAATCCTTGATGGGTGTGAGAAAAATATATTCATAATAAATTTATGACACAGATGAGAAGAAAAAATCAATTCTTAATGCAATAAGCAGGTAATTACCGCTTTCTTGTTTGAGATAATAATGTTCTGTTGACAAATGTATTTGCGTACATGTACAAACTATGAATAAACAAGATGTAACATTCCCTGTCTAATTACCAATAAAAAGTTAACAATTTAATCTTTGCAGGAAAAATCAGGGCACTGATTTTCCGGGTTCTCGCTAAGGTAGCACTCCACAGTTAGAAAAAAACATTAAAATTGAACCACAAAATGTTTTATCATCTTCTATTCCTGGCTTTCCAATACATTAACCTAACTGTTTGTGTTATACATGTGCATATGTATGTAATCAGTATCTTCCATAGATTTGGTTTTTAAAAGTTAAAATGGTGAAATATAATTCCTTTTTTGTGTATCCATGGCAACATTCTGCATTTATTTACCATGAAATATTACAAAAAGGGGGGTAAAAAAGTCACATATTCCCCCAAGATTTGGTTCAAACTAGAATTTCAATGCCTTTCAGTGATACCTTTTCAGAAACTGTTGATATTAATCTACCAAATGATCAAATAAAAAATGGGTGTCTTTCGCCTCATTTTTTCGTAAAATTTGTGCGACATAAAGTTGGAAAAAAACATTACAATAATTGCCGAAACCAATATTTGGTATGGATATGAAAATACGGACTGTCGTACAGAAAACAGCCCATATTACATACATAACATAATCTTGATGTTCCTATAAACCCACTATGAAGGCTATTTTAATCTTCAGCTATCCAAAAATGAATTTTATTCTACACTAGCTATCATATTTGAAAAATCCACAGGGGCCAAAATGCGAAACTACACACCTAACTGTGGAGTGCTACCTAAAGTATTTAAGAGAGTCCATGCATGATTGCATGAATCCTAGACTGACTCGTGAAAATCGATCTGGACTCATCATTTTCAAAATTAGCGAGTCCAAAGCAAAGGTGCATCAAAATTCTATAATGTATCACCTGAGCACACATCAGAGGTGGATTGAGAATTCGGCTTTTACAATCCTTAATGAGAAGTTGAACCCTGAATTACAGTCAGGGGTACTACTTGTACAAGTTATTTTTATTTACTTGAAGAAGTAAATATTAATATACTTTTATAAGTAAAATTGTAAGATACTTAAATACAAGTGTATTTTATTTACTTGTATAGGTAAATTATTTTAATGGCTTAGTTATGTCCCTTAGACATTCAGATTTTTTTTACTTATACAACTTGCAAGTAAAAAAGTGATACTATCTTCTTTTTTTGAATTTCTCAGGACTTCTTTGCTCCAATAGAATTTTCAATTGTCTGTCCTCTGCAGATGTCTTTACTAGTTATTGAAGTGTAATTTCATGGACAATGAAAATCTCATTTGTCTTATCTTCAAAATACTGCTCATTTACAAGCCTCCAAGGGGCAATTTTTGAAGGCCTTGCACAATTATAGTTTCTCTGCTGAATTAATGAGATGACACATTGAACTCTAATAATAAATTATGAGCTAACCAGAGAAAAATTGATTAAGGCATGTTTTTACATCCCAAAACTTGAGAATTTTAAGGATTGTAAAAAAAAATTACTTATACAAGTAAATTTTTTGAGAAAATTAAGAGGAGATTATTCAAGCTTTATAAGAAAATATGAATATAACAAATTTACTTATATAATTATATTTATTATTTACTTCAAGTAAATAAAAATAACTTGTACAAGTAGTACCCCTGACTGAATTATATCGGGTATATCTGGATAAGGATGCATGAGGTCACAAACCATTCCCCTGTGTGATGCTTTAATTTAATTTTATTTTATTGAATAACAAAAATTTTGGAATACTTATCAATATACATGTAAGTTATCACGCATGTAGACATTGTAACATGCATGTTGGTATGCATGCATTTTTTTTGATAAAAAGTTTAAACAAAATTACACATGTACATGTAGTATTGTGATCTGAAGCACTTTTTTGAAATAACCATCATCGGGAATGCTCAAAGTCAAGTATATACAAGTACAAAAAATCATGAAGAGCGATATGAACAAAACTTTGCTTGAGGTAGTTGGAACATTAGTTTCTTAATACTTTCATAAAAAATAATGAGACAATTTAAGAAAGGTTTGTTACAAATTTATCAACTAAGCCATCATATACATATTTACAAAAATTGTTTCAATTTGGGTTTGATTTTAATAGTGGTGCATCAGAAAATTCCTTCCTTCAATGGGTATTAGCTATTTTTAAATCAAATAACCCATCACAATTTACTTGTTGACTGTAGCTGGGTCTCTAGATTAATGAAATACACTGTATTTGCTCTATTGTCAATTCTATATGTTCTGTAGTGTATATTCAGTTGGAAATTTGAATATGCAGTTATTTTCAGAAATGGCACAGTTCAGCTTTGAAAACATGGTGACAGAACTGACAAAATTAGATGGACCCATACAGAATGGTCCACTCATGAGATGGCAGAGAAAGGCTGCAGAATCAGGACTGAAGTTATCTGTACCCCTTGATAAAAGTAAATTATAGTTTTGTCCTCGTGTCACATGCATGTAGTGTGATAATGTATGAATGTTTTGAAATGACATAGCAATAACTATGTATACCAGTATAAGGTTTTGTATAAGAAGTCATACCTGCCAACCTCTGAAACCTTCAAAGAGGGAGATCTCCCTCTCAGCTATGACAGCTGAGGGGGAGAAATTGCACAAACGACATTTTCAAGCTAAATATATGACCTGTAAACTTATTCATCTACAAAACACCAATAAGAGTTTATTTCTTCAATTCATGGTTGTAATCTATACAAGGTGTTCCCCCTCCCCTTTTCAATACCTCTGAGTCTCATAATTCATGTGACATTCCATATTTTGATTTTGTTGTGAGTCTCACACTAAGCATGCTTTTGGTATTTCACATCCAATTTTTTATGGAAATATTCTTCATAAAGCACAAAAATGTCAGTATTCACCTCTGAAGCTAACAAAACCTTTAAATAGACTTATTAAGAAGGGATATAGTTACGATACTGTTGTCAGGTCATTAAAGATTGCATATTTTGGCGTTAATATTGATTCACTTATAGGGTCTTTGCATCGGCACTAAACACATTTATTTAAAAACCAGTTGTTGGCATGACACGGGTTATGTTCTTCTCATATATGTTATGATGGTATGATACTAAACCCCTAACGGGAAGGATTGTGCCTGATATTCATATGATGAAGACATAATCTTTCAATCAGTTTAATTGAAGTCTGGAGCTGGCATGTCAGTTAACTGCTAGTAGTCTGTTGTTATTTATGTATTATTGTCATTTTGTTTATTTTCTTTGGTTACGTCTTCTGACATCAGACTCGGACTTCTCTTGAACTGAATTTTAATGTGCGTATTGTTATGCGTTTACTTTTCTACATTGGCTAGAGGTATAGGGGGAGGGTTGAGATCTCATAAACATGTTTAACCCCGCCGCATTTTTGCGCCTGTCCCAAGTCAGGAGCCTCTAGCCTTTGTTAGTCTTGTATTATTTTTAATTTTAGTTTCTTGTGTACAATTTGGAGTTTAGTATGGCGTTCATTATCACTGAACTAGTATATATATTTGTTTAGGGGCCAGCTGAAGGACGCCTCCGGGTGCGGGAATTTCTCGCTGCATTGAAGACCTGTTGGTGACCTTCTGCTGTTGTCTGTTCTATGGTCGGGTTGTTGTCTCTTTGACACATTCCCCATTTCCATTCTCAATTTTATTCTGAACGTTGTACAGACCACCAGAAGCAACCAAAAAGTTGATTGAACATAATGTGCACAATATAGAGATTCATTGTGCCGAGTGAACTTGGTGGTAAAAATTGAAATTTTTCGTCCAATCTGCTTGACATTTGCAGTTATATTTCTTCTTTTTTACACTGCTGCTTGGTCCAGACAAAGATCTCTATCTTGTTGGAGTTGACATAGCAGAAATGATTTAAGATTACTAATAAAATGAACATAAAGACTAATGACCAAAGTTTTCAGAGATCGCTGATTGTTTGTTTCTTTTTATTGACAGTAAAGAAAAGTCCCTAGAAATACGAACGTGGGTCATTCTGGGTTAAAATATCCCAAAGCGGGAGATTCTATACTCCCACGCAGGAGCAGACCAGCAAGCGGGATATTTCTGGAATTTCGTCGTTTGTGCTGGACTCCCACTCAAAATGGGATGGTTGGCACGTATGAGAAGTGGGTAACAGACAAATAGGCCACTTACTTGCTAAAGTCTCAGGATTCTCTATTGACTAGAAAAGTGATAATGATAAGAAGAACATTTAATTTTTTTTCCATTTACTGCAGAGTAATTCAGATAGACTTCAATGGCTTCAGGTCAATTTCCATTTTATAAATAATTTCAGAGCATTCTTAAAGAAGTTTTATGTCTGTAGATATTTAAAAGATTTTTATGGTTAAATAGTGTATAATATTGAGTTACTGATCTAGTTTTATTCCTGACCACAAACTTTTCACAGAATTGAGGAGTCCTGTTATTCTGCTGGAGGGGCCATTGGTGTCATCCTGACGCATCTGATTTTAAAGGACTTTTCAATAAGTTCAAAATTCAAAGTTGAAAATTGGATTTACATTGTGCATGTAGTATTATTAAATAATTATTTATTGTAGGTGGACAATCACCAAGGCGACCAAAATCAGCACGAACTCCAGGAAAGACTCCAAAAACACCAAGTACAGCAAAAACACCACACAAAACGCCAGGAAAACAAGGAAAGGCTCCATCGAAAACCCCAAGCAAAACCCCAGGAAAGACACAAGCTCCACAAAATGATAGGTTATTGTAAACAATTTTCTTAGAAATTGAAAATAGCTCTACAATACATATTTATTGTTTTGAAAGAAGACATTCAAACTTTGAAATCTGGTAGCATCACAGGAAAACACAAATTCTTCACATGAAATAAATTAGCTTACTTGCCAACTCTCACATTTTTCCAATGTGCATGTAATACAAGCTTTTTCTGTCAATTGTTGGTCTAAGAGACAGGAAAATGATTTTCAATATTTGTAAATGGATGAATAATTGGAACAATGCTTCACATGGCTAATAAAACAGTTAAAACTCATTCAGTTATCTCTGAATTTTTTTATGTTTTTCGTTTTATTTAGAAAATAATATTTTATACGAGTTCTATGATTTATAAGTAGAAATTTTTTAGTCTGCAATAGTTACTTTTCAATTGGTAAATTTTGCTCAAACTGAAGGCATATTGTTCAGCAACTATGATTTTTTTCACGCAAATGTAAGGCACTGCTTGAAACGTGTTGCTGTACACAATCAGCATCAGTCAAGTCCATTTTATATTTCCTGCAAGGTGCAAACAATACCACAATGAGAAGATTTGACTGTCAGTTCTTTTGTTACATACATGTACATGAAGCATAATTTTCCCTTGGCAAAATATCTTGAAATTTTTATCACATTGAAAAATGCTTCAACCATGACATTCAAAAATAATCAAAAGTGGCAAATGGGAAGATTTTTTTATTTACAGAATGTGGGTGTACTTAAATTGTATGATCACATCAATACATGCATTATCACTTCCTTGCCTTATATGGTTTAAAAAGGTAGCCAGTTTTTGTAGCAGGTCTCATAATAACTAAGATGTAATTTGTTGGGTCTTGGTGACGAGTTTGATTCTTTAGGTGTGAGACTACATGTATTTGTGATTTAGTATACAAGGTTACGTAGGATATTCAGCATATCATTGGTGGTTTATCGTGGAAAAGATAAATAAATTCAGTCCATAACTTCCATAGATAGTTGAAAAATGTAAAAATGTGGTTGTGTATCATGTTATTTATCTCGTGTTTTTTTATTATTACCATGTTTTATGTTCCTGTGAGATATTTACAAATTCTCTAGAATCCTGACCATTTAGTGAATTCATTACAGGGTTGACAGTTGTCCATTGTTGAAAATGGTATTTGACTTCTAAATGTTTTTTGTTAACATGTATTGTATTTGCTGCTGTCTTGCTGATATCAACCCACATCTATTATTTATAACTCAAGGTTTATACAGACTCCAAATCTAATGAAATATAATTAATGATAGATAAGATTCAGTTACAGTTATTGTCTTTGTTTCCTACAGATTTATACCAAGCAGATCAACAACAGATATAGATCTTGGCCACTTTGCTTTGATGAATGAAAATTCTGAAAATGCAGATCCTGAACCTAATAATGCACAATACCAGCAGCATCTGAATGAAGCTCTAAACAAGGGACAAAACCCACACAACACTAAGATTTTATCCTTCAAAAACAAAGCTCCAGATGCACCAGAAGGTTGGTAAAATTGGTTCAGATACTAATCTCTGGTATTGTTTGTTAGTTACACAACTAACACAATATTTGGGTTACTGTTCTTGATTACAACCAGTTGTCACAATATTATGATATTAAGTGATTATGTCTGTATTGGCCTTGTTATTTTGTTCCGAGGCTTGTTGTATTGGCCTGAGGCCTGAGGCCAATACATCTGGCAGAGGACAAATAACAAGGCCAATACAGACATAATCACGTAATGATATCTTTATTAACTACAGTGTTTACCTGTTTTTTTTTTCCTTTCACAAGATTTTGACATGTTTTACCTTGAAATTGAACTATCCAAATCTGAGTTTCCTTTTATAAGCTGCAGTGTCAAATGATCTGGTGCTGTTTGGAAGTGTCTTCAACATTTTTTGATGATTTGTGAACCCTTTTCAGTCACTATAAAGTGTTACAATACATATTTAGATGCAACACATAAATAGTAATTGGAAAGGTACTGCCATTGCATGAGAGATTCTGAAACAAAGGATTAAATAAAACTAGGAGTTGAATATGATTGTTAATGAGACAACTATCCATAGACCATGACCAAAGAACAAAGACTTGAACAATAAATTGCAGGTCATCCTTCAACAATCCATATGCCTGGTTCCAGTTGAAAAATATATGATACCTAATAAAAGCATGAGAAGTGAAAGTAAACAGTAAATTGAAATGCATCCATTAAACTGATAAAATGTTTTGAATAGTTATGAAGTCGACAAGACATGAGCTTTGTGATAATCTACAGACTTGTTGCCCAAACCTGAAATAATTCAATTGTCTGCTTACAAAATGCTTTTTTAAATGTATGTGACTGTCTTCAGCCTGAAATATTTGCAACATTGAATGTTTCGGGTTTATGGGGAGTAAATAATACAGCCACATCCAAACAACAGTTTACATTAAGTTTGTGTTTATCATGACTTTCGATCTAAAAACTAGAGACTTTCAAAAATCCTGTATTGGCCGGATCAGAACTCAGCCATTAGGGAAAAAAATCAGTATTTGCTGAGTTGACACTTTTGTATTGCATAGGCAGTTTTCATCATATTAAGTCCAATAATAGAGTAGTTAGTTAATAATATGTAATAAAGACATTTTGTTGTTTTCTCAACAATCCTTGACAGATTTTTACAGTCAAAATTTTGCTTTTATTATGCTCCCTGAAAGTCCGTCCGTATATATGCAGACAGCTTTTGTGAAAGCAATAACTCTAGTCATATAGATATGAAGTGGATGAATATATATTCTAGTTATATATTGACTTAAATTTGTGTTTTTGAATATACTACTTCTTTTAATGATGTGTTACTTATTTTTAAGGATATTGTAACAATCTAAAAGTGTTATACAGTTGTGCTGGTAAATCTACAGCTCCAAAGGGAACCACACAGAGACAAATTCCTCAGCAACCAGAGAGAATCCTTGATGCCCCAGAGCTGTTTGATGATTACTGTAGGTATTATTTGAAAGGAGAAAAAAAAACTACAGTAATAGAAAAAAAAAAATCACATTGAGTACAGGGCTTCCAAAATTTCCTGACGACAGCCGGACATTTTTCAAAGAAATATTTTTGACGGTCAATGATCAGCTGGATACTTAAATGTAACTGAGAGGATGCATAAATTGATATATGTGTCTAAATAATTAGTAGTGTTATATGCAATAAAATTATTTATAACTGTTTTGTTTTCTTCATTCTAAAATTAAATAAAATATTATCCTCGGTATTGTGTCATTTTTCTGTGTATCGTAATACAGTAACCATCATTGCATCAATCAGCTTCAGTACCTGACTGTTCTCATGTTTTTGTTTCTGTTTATATAATCTTTCTTCTCTCTGTGAGTACTTAACAATTTGTAAATTAAGACCATCTTATTTGAAACTGTTGATGTTGGCTATAATTGCAGTACAACTTGATCATCAATACACGTGATACTTTCTTTTTGTGTATTGATTACCTGACCACGTGACTTTTACAACTGATGCGGTATTTATAGATAACATTGAGGAGGCCCAATAAAGGATATTGTTTTAAACCGTGTAAAATCTACTGAACAGTGATAACATTTTTCTTTGTACAATTTCCCAACCTGATTTAGAAATAAGGAATAAATAAAAACATACTCAGTTGATAAATAATTTAATGAATAACAACATGATATTTTATGTAAGCATATAACAACAATAAAATATCAGAAGAGCACAATGTTGACAAACACACGCAATAAATATTACAATGAGCACATTGAAAAGAAGCACAGATCACAGCACAAGATTAGAGTTCATTTAGTCTAATTTAAGATTTGACATTCATGAGCTTGCTAAATGCATTGTTCTGATAAACATGGCGGTTACGAACGGATTGCCATTTGCGGATAGCAGGAACAGGGTCAAAGTCTTTAACATCTACACCTACTAAGTTCAATTTGAGACAAAGTCTTTATAACAGTCGGAGATTGTCATGATTGGATATTATTCTTTATGATTTTAATTATAAAAACAGTTTTTAATATGAAAACAAGAATAGAGAACGCCCCCCTTATTTATTGGACAACTCAGCTTGGTATACCCAAGCGAAGCTATTCTCGGTGTTTTTCCTATATATTTTAGTAAATTTTCCCCTTGAGAGTTCCCCAGTATTTAACACGATGTACAGTGTTAAATAAAATAATATCTATCGTACTTATTCATTTATAAATATCCTTATTTGAAGAATAACTTTTAAATATCAGGATACTTTTTTAAACTGAATGCTCATTTAAAATAATATCTATAAAGCGTAATTAAATAGGATGTTGTTCCATACACGCTTACATGTTTGACCTCGTTTACCTGATTACCTTTATGTACATTGGTATGCATCATTAATTCTATTGATAAAGACACGCTAAGGACACCTCATCAAAGGTAACAAACCTGTAATCAGTGAATGATTTATGGCTTCAATTGAAGGGATAATTGTTTGACAGCTTGTTGTTATTTAAATAAAAGAAAACGAGTTTTTTTCTACTTTTTATTGATGTACACAAGCTAAAGACCAAGCCGTACATTTATGTACCCAGAGGATAAGACTAACTGAGACACTTCAAAGTATCGGAAATATGCTGCTTCTGTTTTATTACAACCAATTATGACCGAAATATCTTTGTGAAATAGATTGCCACAATTATAAACTAAAATGCTCAAACGGACATGCCCAAAGCCCCAAACGTACATTTTTATCGATCGATAGTTGGTAAAAATTGAAATGACCGTTTCATGAAAATGCCTTGAATAACAAAATGTGGCACACCAATTCTATTTGACCGTTTGAGGCTGAGAGCAGCCGGTCTTTTTATGAAAGTTTCGGTCAAGTCCGGAATATATGACCGTTTTGGAAGCCCTGATTGAGTATTCTTAACATTTTTAAAACAAACATATACACAGTGATATTGTTGTCTTTTTTCAAAACTACCTCTACCCTTTTATTTTGGGAAATTAGGAATTTTTTTAAACAGTTTTTTTTCGCGTAATATTTTGAATTGTAAGACATTTTCAACCGGAAAGGAACTTTTTGGGGAGGGGAAGGAAACGAAGAAATTGACGGTACTTAATACATTGAAAACCACGTGTGTTACAAACACTGCAATGATTCTAAGAAGAAACCCGGATCTCAAAAGCACTTATAATATCAAAAAAATAACATGAATACGAAATTTACGTACATAACTACCGATGCCATCACCGTTTGGGGAAAATGTATAACTTTTTGGGAGGAATTTTATGCCATTTTTTTTATAAATGAGAATTTTCTCTAGGGGAAAAAGGCGTATTTCGGAGGTAATTTGAGGCAAACAATATCACTGATACAGGCTCAAGATTATAGTTTATCCTCAATGAAATGGAAGTCAGTCATATACTGTAAGCCAAGTGACTTTCCCCACTAGAAAAATAGCATGAATATAAAATTAAAATTGTCATTAAAACTTTGGATATTCTGGTATACAAATACATCAAGAAAGAAAAGAAGTTAAGTTTGTTCATTTATCAAATATACACAGCATTGAATGCACTCTTTCCTCATCTAATGTTTTCTCTGTATTTTGTAGATTTGAATCTTTTGGATTGGTCTTGTTGTAACTTATTATCTGTGGCACTTGGTGGAGGTGTATATATATGGAATTCTGCTGATGGATCTATTATACAGTTAATGGAATTACAGACTCCAGATGACTATGTATCTTCTGTTAACTGGGTAAAAGAAGGGGGGAATTTTCTTGGTATTGGAACCAGTACTGGCTGTGTACAGGTGAGGCACTTATGTTGTTTCCAGTAGTTATATAGTTACCAAATATTTAGTTTTGGTTGATTTTCTTAAGTTCACTGAATTTTCAGTAGATTTATTTATTTTAGTTGGTATCAGTTTTTGTAGTTGTAGGAAGATTTGCTATTTTGAGGTTTCTTCATTCTTTCTATTGAATTAACAAAAACAAATTTTTGTCTGCTGTTGCAGTTCTTGGTTCCCTGCCTACAAATTCAAAATAGGTATCCCCTGAATTTTAATGAATTTACATAGATCTTGTATTTTCTGCTGTCTTTTGAGTTTATTTTCAAAGTTAACTTTGATATTTATACCATACCTAGATTTTTTTTTAAATAAAATAACTGAATGATTACCTGAAAGAATTACATTTACTACACCAGTTGTTTATTTGTTTATGCCCCTGCTAAAAGGGAAAATTTGAATTATTTTTATTGTAGTTGTGGGATGTGACTCAGAATAAGATGATTAGAAATATGTCTGGACACGCTGCCCGTGTTGGGTCATTGTCATGGAATGCTCATGTTTTAAGCAGGTATATATGTACAAAAATGTAACTTTTCTTTACACAATTGCAAGGCATGTTTATAACAGTGAAAATTGTGTGCTAGAGAACAACTTCACTGAAATATTGCATTCATGCATTTAATTGTGTTGTTTGCTGTCTTGGACAAATGTCCAGATTTCACACGATCTACTGTGAATTCATTTATTTTTGTGGATACCAATTTTTATACCCCCGCTTTAAAAAAAGGGGGTATACTGTTTTACCTCTGTCTGTCCTTCCGTCAGTCTGTCCGTCCGTCCCATGAATATTTTCGTCGCATTTTTCTCAGGAACTGCTTGACAAGGATTTCTGAAATTTGGTTTCAGGGTTTATATAAGTAAGTTACACCGTGTGATGCGTTTTCATATTCATCACTCAACAACTTCCTGTTAACGGAAAACTTGTATTATTTTACACATGATAGCCAAGTTGAAAATTTTCGTCACATTTTTCTCAGGAACTACTTGACAAGGATTTCTGAAATTTGGTTTCAGGGTTTATATAAGTCAGCTGTACCGTGTGATGCGTTTTCAGATTCATCACCTAACAACTTCCTGTTTACCAAAATATTTCGGCTGGGGTATCATCAGTGAGCAGTATTACTTGTTGTGGATTGAGGAACAATTCTATTTTTGTGGATATTTCATTTTGTTATTTAGCAAAAGTTTCCTTACAAACCAACAGAAAATTTATACTTAGTTGCACTTTTAAATTCATTGTTTATTTATAACCACGAAATCCACAAACATTGGTATCCCTCAAAAAATAATGGATCCATCGTAAACTGCACTATGATTTACAAAAAAATGGGCAGTTTTAACATAATTAATAACATATTCCTATAATATAAGAAAAGAAACACTGTATTCTGTGACATACAAGATAGCCGTAGCAATATATCAGATCAAAGTTTGGCTATGCAGGACTTGTTATTGTTAATAATATCATCAGACTCAGACTTTTGTCATTAGTTGTTAACCAAAAAGTCTCGACATCCTGTTTCAAATACTGGGGTTAAAATTGTTTTTGTTGAGAGTTTTGCAAGATGATAGATATAATTCAATGACTGTTCTCCTTTTTGCCAACATTAAAAATAATGCACTCTTAACCTGGACAAAGCTAAGCAAATGGTTTGATTTGGGTTTGTTAACTACATGTATGTGCAGTCCTGGAAAATCTTTTTAAAGTGTTACCATGACAAAAAAGTTACAACAACAAATAGATTCTATGTTGAGTTCCCTTCAATAACTACAAAGAAAGGCTAGTTCAAAATATGAACTAATAGTTAGTACAGTGTTATGCTAGTGTCACAAATTTCTTTCTCATAAGAAGCAGCTTTTATGAAATTTTATATTTTGATATGAAATATATAAATAAATGTATCACAGTACTATTTATTGTAGACTCTTTTTAGGGATAAAATAAAATTATGATAAAAACAACAAATTAAAAATAATGAAAAATAATGGAAATTTACATACTACATTAAAAAAGATCAAAAGGAATTAATAACATCTTTCTAAATTTGTAATTATTAAAAGCATTCACTAGATAAAAAACCAGTATATTTTGAAAAAAAATAAAATTTACCTTGTAATTTTATGAACATTATGACTTTTCAGTGGTTCTAGGAGTGGAGCTATATATCACCATGATGTTAGGGTAGCCAATCATCATGTGTCTACCTTAAATAATCACAGCCAGGAAGTATGTGGTTTGGCCTGGTCCCCTGATGGGAGGTACTTAGCCAGTGGAGGTAATGACAACCTCCTCAACATATGGGATGCTACTTTGAGTGAGGAAGTTTCACCATTACATACATTTTCTCATCATCAAGCAGCAGTAAAGGTACAATCATTATATACATTTTGGAGTGTTTAGCAGTGGAAAGAAATTATAAAATGTTGATCTGTCTAGAAGTATATACCCAGATTGTATTAATCTTTCCAGAACAAAATTGAACATTATTTTTATTCAAGATCCTGCAATCATGGCAATGTTATTACATGTAGTCTTTTGTTTATATTTGAAGACAATGAAAGAAAAGTTATTTTCATGAATTTGCTTCTGAACAGCTTAGAATCATCTAGATTTTATGTACCAACAACATATCATTTTTAAAGAAAAATCTATGGATATGAAATTGGAGATTTGATGATTTTAAGGCAAATTAAAGAACGATTTTTTATTGATATTATGTGCTTTCTGTACAAATGTTCACCTGTTTTGAAAGATTTTAATCAGTAATATTTAAGATAATAGGAGATATATGCACTATTTTCCTGATTTTCAGTTATAGTTAAGAGTCAAAGTTGTATGCAAAATCTGTAAAATTGTTTTACATAAGTTGTGGCACCACATTTATAATACTTTCTATAATAAAATTTATTATTATAGTGTCATGGTATAATAAGGCTTGAGGAGAACACTGCCATGCAAAATCTCTGCAATGCTGATATCAAGTTTATTTAGAATTGAAACAATTGAACAGATCGCATTAAAACTTTTGATTTTTTTTTAGGCCTTAGCTTGGTGTCCTTGGAACCCACAACTGTTAGCCAGTGGTGGAGGGACAGCAGACAGACATATCAGATTTTGGAGTGTACCTACAGGATCATGTTTGAATGCTGTTGACACTGATTCACAGGTGACCTAACTATACATATTATCATGCTTTGTTTAATGATAGCATGCAGACTATATATAATTATAACTGGAAAATTTTTTAACATCTAAAGTTTTAATATGTGTCCAAAAAATGCTTTATCTGTATTTACATTTTGAACTTTCATAAGGAATGTTCAACCCAAAACATTTGAAGGCCAGAGACACATACTTGAGGAGCTGTATAAACCAAAGTTGACCACAGAATTTGTGGTCAACTTTGCCTGAGGGAGTTTGAACCTTTGTTTCTTAGTAATTTCTTAATTAATCTACAGAGAATTTTTAAAAAAATGATACAGTTGATGTCAGTACAGAAACACTGACTTCTGAGCTGAAGATGTCAGTACAGAAACACTGACTTCTGAGCTGAAGATGTCAGTACAGAAACACTGACTACTGAGCTGAAGATGTCAGTACAGAAACACTGACTTCTGAGCTGAAGATGTCAGTACCGAAACACTAACAACTGATCTGAAGATGTCAGTACAGAAACACCGACTACTGAGCTGGAGATACCCTCAGGATCTTGTAGTTTACCAGTATTGGTAGAAAATTCATTACTTTAAAATACAGCAGGAGAGACATTTTTGTGTGTCAATACTTGTTCAAGGATACTAATAATTTCTCCTGTAAATTTGGGGTGTTCTCAGGGGTTTTTTGTTCACTGACAGTGCAAATTGAAGAAAGGAATGAGTGATTGCTTGTTTGGTATATATGACTGGGTCAGAATTATAGTTTATAAGTGATATTCAGTGTCAAGGCGCATTATCTTTGGTATGTCTTTCCATTAAGGCTACACATTGTGCTTCTCAATTACTGACCTTGAAATTCTTACACGTTAAAAGTTTGTTTTCTGGTCAATGAAACAGGAGGGTCAGTGAAACAGGAGCTACAATTCTTCAATTGTATTCTGTTTCATAAACATTGGTACACCTGCTTTGCATGAAGATAGTTTTAACTTTCAACACCTCTGCTGTTCTTTTAAGTTGTGATGTATCAATTGAAATTTTTTGGGTTTTTTTTTCATCTTACATATGTGATTACAGCAGTAAGAGGATTACTTATAACAGAGATATCTCTGTGTCAACAGTTTATTGATAGAAGTTAACTTTTCAAGTACATTGTTGTACCTGCTGGTAGGTACAACTCATGAGATGGTTTTGTTCTAGTTTTAAAGTCAATGAACTCAGCCTTTTGAGCTCACCTGGCCCGAAGGGCCAAGTGAGCTTTTCTCATCACTTGGCGTCCGACGTCGTCGTTAACTTTTTACATTTTGAACTTCTTCTAGAGAACCACTGAATGGAATGAAACCAAACATGGCATGAATGTTCCTTATGAGGTGCTGACCAAGTGTTGTTACTTTGTAGCAGATCCATCATCCAAGATGGCCGCCAGCGGGGGACTTAGTTTAACATAGGACCCTATGGGAAATACATACAAATGTCTTCTTTTAGAGAACCACTGAATGGAATGAAACCAAACATGGCATGAATGTTCCTTATGAAGTGCTGACCAAGTGTTGTTACTTTGAAGCTGATCCATTATCCAAGATGGCCGCCAGAGGGGGACTTAGTTTAACATAGGACCCTATGGGAAATACATACAAATGTCTTCTTTTAGAGAACTACTGAATGGAATGAAACCAAACATGGTATGAATGTTCCTTATGAGGTGCTGACCGAGTGTTGTTACTTTGAAGCCGATCCATAATCCAAGATGGCCACCAGAGGGGGACTTAGTTTAACATGGGACCCTATGGGAAATACATACAAATGTCTTCTTTTAGAGAACCACAAAATGGAATGAAACCAAACATGGCATGAATGTTCCTTATGAGGTGCTGACCAAGTGTTGTTACTATGAAGCCGATCCATAATCCAAGATGGCAGCCAGCAGGGGACTTAGTTTAACATTGGACCCTATGGGAAATACATACAAATGTCTTCTTTTAGAGAACCACTGAATGGAATGAAACCAAACATGGCATGAATGTTTCTTATGAGGTGCTGACCGAGTGTTGTTACTTTGAAGCTGATCCATAATCCAAGATGGCCGCCAGCAGGGGACTTAGTTTAACATGGGACCCTATGAGAAATACATACAAATGTTTTCTTTTAGAGAACCACTGAATGGAATGAAACCAAACATGGCATGAATGTACCTTATGAGGTGCTGACTGAGTTTTGTTACTTTGAAGCTGATCCATAATCCAAGATGGCCGCCAGCGGGGGACTTAGTTTAACATGGGACCCTATGTGAAATACATACAAACATCTTCTTTTAGAGAACCACTGAATGGAATGAAACCAAACATGGCATGAATGTTCCTTTTGAGGTGCTGACCAAGTGTTGTTTCTATGAAGCCGATCCATAATCCAAGATGGCCGCCAGCAGGGGACTTAGTTTAACATAGGACCCTATGGGAAATACATACAAATGTCTTCTTTTAGAGAACCACTGAATGGAATGAAACCAAACATGACATGAATGTTCCTAATGAGGTGCTGACCAAGTGTTGTTACTTTGAAGCTGATCCATCATCCAAGATGGCTGCCAGCGGGGGACTTAGTTTAACATAGGACCCTATTGGAAATACATACAAATGTCTTCTTTTAGAGAACCACTGAATGCAATGAAACCAAACATGGCATGAATGTTCCTTATGAGGTGCTGACCAAGTGTTGTTACTATGAAGCCGATCCATAATCTAAGATGGCCGCCAGCAGAGGACTTAGTTTAACAAAGGACCCTATGAGAAATACATACAAATGTTTTCTTTTAGAGAACCATTGAATGGAATGAAACCAAACATGGTATGCATGTTCCTTTCGAGGTGCTGACCAAGTGTTTTTACTTTGAAGCTGATCCTTCATCCACGATGGCCGCCAGATGGGGACAATGTTTAACACAGGACCCTATGGACAATACATACAAATGTCTTCTTTTAGAGAACCAGATACTGAATGGATTGAAACCATACATGGCATGAATGTTCCTTACGAGGTGCTGACTAAGTTTTGTTACTTTGAAGCTGATCCTTCATCCATGATGGCCGCCAATGGGGGGACTTCCTTTAACATAAGACCCTATGGGAAATACATACAAATGCTTCTTCTAGAGGTGCACTGAATGGAATGAAACCAAAAATTGGCATACATGTTTCTTATGAGGTGCTGATGAAGTGTTGCTACTTTGTTGCCGATTTACTGTTCAAGATGGCCACCAGGATTTTTTATCAAATTACAGGACCAATATTAAACCAAATTTGGCCTCACTCATTATTAGGGTATCTGTTATGATTTTTATCTATTTTTACATGATTTCCAAAACCAAAATAGAATCAGGTGAGGGACACAGGCTCTTGAGAGCCTCTAGTTAAGTTTTAGTCAGTGTCAAAATCATTTTCTCCTTGTCTTTGTTTTGATCATTTGAGAACTTAAATTTGAATTTTCTGATGAGGCTTGAAAACTTACCAAATAAAGTGGATACAGACTTTATCATAATAATTTTCTTTTTCTACAGGTTTGTTCCATTTTATGGTCCCAGGAGTACAAGGAACTGATTTCAGGCCATGGATACTCTCAGAATCAGCTGACAATATGGAAATATCCCATTATGAACAGAATAATGGATTTAACAGGTAATTTTTCATACAACATTGTATATTTATCCATTTAAAACATCATCACCTTGTGACAATCAAGTTTTAGGAGTTTTGTTTGAATTCAGGGCTTGAACGTTTGTCTGATTGTATATGTAAGTTTACATCATATAGAATCCTTTTTTGGTTTTGTTTGGAGAGATCTTGACAAAAATAATCTAGAAAATAAGTGATGAGTTTGGGCTGTTTGTTATTTCTGGGTCTTTTCTTATACTAATTTCAACATTTTGATTGGAAACAAATATGATAGAAAATGTCAAATTGTACTGTTGAGAATTAGAAATGTGAATAAACAGAATAGAAGTTAATTTGAAACAACCATATACTGAATTTGAATTATGTAAAGACCAACAACATATGGATCTATTTTTTTATAATTACCCACCACCCATAGATCCATAAAGGCCATATATTTTTCTATCTACCAAAGCTACAGATGAGAGAAAGACATAATGCAGAAATGTGTATCAGATGTTTAGCTTGATATATAACATTATCTTGTATTTATCAATAAATAATGTTTATTCATCTCAATATTTGTTATTTTTATTCAATAATGTTTCTGTCAAGACAACATTTGGAAAACACTATTAATACCATGCATGCAGACTATAATTACTAGAACTAATAGGCTTACACTGATAAAAAAGAATGGGTACATCCAAAATTGTAAAATATTGTCAGACTTGTCAGAATGGGTCGAGACACAAAGAATTGTTTACGTTCAGCTAAGCTCTTACATGTGCAATTTTCTCTCCTTTCTGACTAAATGAAATAACTTGATGTTAATGTTTAAACTAATATTTTTTGGTAAAATTTATGTAAATTGGAGCACTCTATGTTTGAAAAATCCTTGTAGTTACATAATCTCTGTTTTATGAAATATTATCATAACAGTTGTCTACATTTTTTTTACAAACAGATAACATATTCCACAATGTATATTTACTCTTAGAAAAGGAGTTATCTTTATTTGTTTTCAGGATTTTGTTCGCATTTCAAAATTAACTAAGAGAAAAATTAAGAAGGAATGTATGCTCGAAGTGTAGAAAGTGGTTGGTGTTCAGTTTATTTAAAAAATCATTGGAAAAATCAACCTATATATTGTTGAAATCTCCAAATGACCAACCAACAACAAATATAGGTCCATGAGAAATGGCACAACTTATTTAATTTTATTTCTTCCTTTATATACAACCAACTACTGAACAAACATCATTTTTCGGGGGAGGTGACATAGTATTTTCTGGAACAGCCCTAAGAAAGAAAGAAAAATATCACTTTGAAAATTTCAGAAATATGAAAATCCAGGTTATTATGAATGATTTTATGAAACAGTAGGAAGACAGCAGTTTTAACTGTGCATATGTAGGTAGCTAGACTAAATTTATTGAATGCAGAATGGGAAGATAATTTGATGAATGTATTCTTATAACAATAAATGTTTCAGGCCATACTGCACGTGTGTTGTGTTTGACAATGTCACCAGATGGCACCACTGTAGCCAGTGCTGCAGCAGATGAGACCATCAGATTATGGAAATGTTTTGCAGTCGACAAAGGAAAGAAAGAAACGACGAGCAAACCAGTGAAAGAAACATCAAAATTGGGAAAACTTCAGAAACTAGGCAGCATCCGATGAGTTTTGCAATTCAAAATGAAAAGTGATTTGCGCAAGTTTTGTCTACCTAATCTCTAATCTAGATCAAGAGTTTGCAGTGTTGAAAAACAATTTATGTGTACTCAACCATTTAACATCCAAAAGTTTCAGTAATTTCAGTTAATATAAAATGTCAGAAATTCTATTTGTAATTTTTAGGTACAATTTTATTAAAAATCTGTTGTGTTCCTTCATGTATAGTGTTGATTTTCCATAGTGTCAACTTGGAACTGTGATATATTCCATTGTGCTTTCAATGTGTAAAAGTAATGTGTGTTAGAATGGTATGCAAAAGTAATTGTATGATATATGTGTTGACTGAACTAATTCTTTAGTAAATATGATAATTTATAGTCTAGTTTTGTAGATAAATAACACAGATACTGTTTTACCATTTTACCAGAAGTATGTTTGAATGCCTGTATTGTCTTGTAAATTTTTGTTTATTGTTTGACTGAAATGATGCTGTATATCACCTATTGGGAATACTCATTTTGATTTATCGTACAGTGATGACATGTCTAATAATACATGATCTATACTTGTATATATTATCATAAATAAAAAAATTTGTTCATTTGATAATTCTGTACCTCAGTTAAGTATGATTATAATGAGAACGGTTGACCTTATTGGTATGATCATAATGAGGAGAAAACAGTTTACTTCTTTTGATTGTTAATAAAGATTAGAGGAGGATGTAGCAGGCCATACGTCTTTAAAGAAATTGATCAGATGTATGTTTACATACTGAAGGGAAAACTTGTTACAACTTGTATATGTCTTAATGAACCTTATAGTGAAAGAGACAAAAAAAAATTTATCTCAAAAACTGTGGCTTTTAATATGGCTTAAACTGGACAAAGAAAATTCTTTTATAGAGTTCATACCACACAAAAAGTTAAGAGACTATAATTTATTGAAATGGCAACAAAGGGATGACTTTTCTTTTTTAGATATTTGAAATTGTAGAGGTGTGTAAGACTACATGCTATCTATTTCAACAGATAAAAGTGTTATAAGTTTGCTTTTAGCTTAGAAAAGCATTCATAGAAACGTATTATACTGATTTAAATGTCTCCCCTGTAAGAAAAGTTGCTGAAAGCAATCCATAGGGATGATTATTCAGCAGTGGTGGCAGTGTAAACTAAGTATAAAGCCTTATATTTTAGAAGATCTGGATGCTTCATACCTTGTATATATATTTTAGAAAGTGTCTGATGATCCTGTCTGCCAACCAATATGTCCAACTTGGCTCTAATTAGAACATAGGGGTAAAATGCAAGAAATTTACTATAGATACAGAAAATCTAACAGGAGGAGAAAGGTTCAAAACCATTAGATCTGCCTACTGTCTGTTTTTATCAGTAAATAAGTCAACATGAACGAAATCATCAGACAATTTAGTATAAGAGTTATTGCCCTTAAATGAAGATTTGTACCAACTGTGTGCGAATTTGTCTATTACCTTGAAAACTATAATATATATAGAGAAACTTAAAATAGCAAAAATGATCAGCAAGAAGAGATCTACAAATAGTTCAACATAGTTATTATTGTCAGTTGACTCCTTATAGGAGTAATTGCCCTGAAGTGATGATTTTTGGTATTTTGGGCAACAACTATAGTAGATAAAGAGAAACTGCAAACAGATGAAATGATCAACAGAAAAGAGATTTTAGTTGTGAATTATATTCTAGGCTACAATGTTGGAGAGTGACCATGGTTGAAGATGCACATAGATCAAGGTAAGCGACACAGGCTCTTATAGCTTCCTGTTAACCATTATAATAACTCGCTTAGGATAATAATATTTGGTATATGGGCAAAAGGGTTCAACTGACCTTTACCCCATTTCATCTATCAGTGATGATTAAAGTTACATGATTAGGTGTGCTTTTCGGGCACAATACGCAACTCTGGTGTATGGAATGATTGTAAACATGTCTATCTGGCAGGTATCATCTGACCTTATCATTTTCATTGTTCATTGGACAATGATAAGTTTCTGTAGTTTGGTTCTAATCTCAGATACTATGAGCAATAGGTCAACTATATTTGATGTATGGAATGATAGTAAGGTATATGACAGGGGCGTTTCTAGGATATTTGAAAGAGGGGGCGTAGAAGATAATCTTTTGCCGAGTGGAGAGAGACAAAAAAAATTTTGGACCTTTTTTTTGCTAAAAAACATAAAATAATTGTGAAATGCACTAGTGTAACGGTTCCTGGCTTGGAGCATGTATATTTTATTGTTTTTTTGTTGTTTTTTTTTAAAGGGGGTAGGGGGGCGTACACCCATTATGCCCTCACCTGGACCCGCCCCTGTATGATCTGTCTGGCAGGGTTCATCTGACCTTGCCATAATTTTCATTGTTCATTCATCAGTTGTCGTAGTTTAGTCCTTTTCTCAGATACTTTAAGCAATAGTTAAATTGTGTTGTTTTAATTGAAAAAAAAATGTAGCAGTAATGATAAACAGTACACTATATAAAAATTGCATATTGTTTCCCTATGTTTAAATAAAGCAATATTATCAAACTCCGCAGTTGTTTGACATCTGACGAAGGTATGTGTATTTCTAAAGGAGGTAATTAATGTTTCATTATGTTTTGTATGGCAAGCCATTTTACTATTTATTCTAACTTCAAGATATCTAATAAACTTAATAAGATATCTCATAAAGTTTATAAGATATAAGATATCTTATAAATTACGAGATATCTTTTAAACTATACAAGTGTGGACACAGATCAGTGTGGATAGTATGTTTGAATGTTTGACAGTGTTTTCTGATAATAAAGTTTTCTATAAGTTTTTTCCCATAGTGTTCTATGTTAATTTCTATAAATAAATTATGGCAAATAGTGTAGACTAAAAGAGATTTGAAAAAGGTATTGCAAAATTAGTCTTGTTTTAAGGTTTTTGTTATGTGGATTATATTCTCCAAGGCCTGGTTGTAGTTATATAAACACGATAACAGACAAATTTACCAGTATGATATAATTTTAATAACATGGTATATATATCCAATTTATTTGATTATGATTCTTAATTTCTATAGATAAATTATGACAAATAGTGTAGACTAGAAGAGATTTGAAAAAGGTATTGCAAAATTATTCTTGTTTTATAAGGTTTGTTGTGGTATAAAAATAAACAGTGCTGTAATCTGGTAATCAACGTTAACACAAATTAAAAAATAATGAATGAATGATAAAAGTTGAACAATGAAAGATTATTTAGGGACTGACTAAGCATTATGAGTTTTGTCCATATGTATGAAAGAATGACCAGTTGCACTCAGGACTCTTCAGTAGGCAGTACAAATGGTCAAAAAAGTGTTACAAAACCACTTGGCATCATTTTCCATGTAGCAATGTTTGGTATATTTCAATGTGTTTTTTTTTTTATTTGGCTATCTGGATGCAAAATGTTTGGTTCAAATGAAAATAAAATGCTTTAATCCCCCTTTAACTACGTTCAATATGTGGATGCAGCTTCAATAATTCCTGTGCTGACAATTTCAATGATCTTACATTAGTTTTTCATATGTAGATATGGTTGTCTGTTTATGAATCTAATTTTAACAAAGAAGGTATTGGCATAACAATGAACCGAGCTTAATGCAAAGCACTTTTATAATACACTTAGACAGAGAGCTCAATCCAGTGATATACTTCTTGAACACCACTACAAACACACTTACTGCACAGATTGGAGGTCCTGAAAATAGACATGTCAATAAAATATATTAAACATATTATATGTAAATAAGCACATGTACATAAAACTTATACAAATTACTGGTAAAACAGTTAGTAAAAAGCAAGTAGATGTCACTATATGCAAAAATAAATATATCTTGATCATTAGTGCCCCTCTCTTTGAAATAAGAAACAAACTTCCACCTTATCATAGTAAACAGGTGAAAAAAAACATTCAAAACTAAAAAATGGTTTCAGTGTCTATTACCTTCACAACTGAATCAATACATTAGTATAAGTACATGTATTTGCATAAGTGTGAAAATGTGCCAAACAGTAGTAACTTTTTTTAATGTATATTCTCCAAATATAAAACACTGTTGTATGGCTGTATGCTATTTATTTCGCACCTACATAAAAAGTTATTGTTGTACATCAATATTCATAACAGTGAAGAGTTTTCCTGTGGCTAAAGATATATAAACACGAGGCTGTTGTGGACGAGTGGTCTACATCTAGGCATAAGGTCTGCTATTTTGATATATATTTGTTAAAATATACTTTTGCACTTTTTTGGTCTTTTGGAAAATGTTGTTTGTGCTGTATTTAGACCCTTCTGCCAAGAAATTTGTTTTGCATGCATACGTATAAAAATTGCAGTTTTTATCCAACGCAATCATAGGTTTCGTTTGGGCTTGTATTATATTTGCCTTCGGGTTTATATGATCCGTTCATCCTATTTCGACTCTTTCAATATTCAAGAGTCTATCCTAAATTGAGGTAAATTATATAGCCTGCCAAATACCGTTTCGATTACTAACATCACTGAAGAGACATTAATTGTCGAAATCCAGATATGGTGTACAACCTTTTGCACCTCATGTTTGCGGTATTCCAATTTTTTCCGCAAACTTATTGTTTTCTGTTTGGTAATAAATTTATATATAATAAGATCCATTTTGTTACATCTGGTGATCCGTTTATTTGGCAATCACCAATGGCAGTCAGCAGGGTTTAAGAACATCAGTTGTTCGACCTGCTAGTCAAATGCGTTTTGTTAAAATATACGTTTTCACTTTTTTGGTCTTTTGGAAAATGTTGTTTGTGCTGTATTTAGACCCCTCTACCAAGAAATTTGTTTTGCATGCACACGTATAAAAATTGCGGTTTTTATCCAACGCAATCATAGGTTTGAACGTTGTTTTCAATTTAGACTTGTTTATATTTACATATATATATATAAATACACATGAACAAACAAAAAAGCTAGCAAGTACTGTGAAATGCATTCAAAACTATCCTAGTATTGGAGAACTTTCAAAAAAACATGTCGAGACAATAATTTTAAACTTCAATTAATTCAAACAAAATCAAAATATGTAGATGGTTTCCCTTTTCCTGCTTGGTAAATTTTAACTATGAAACTATAAGGGGGGTGGGGAGGGGGAGCAGTGAATATACATGATTGCTAGTTACTTATCATTTATTTTGAGAAACCAGTGTAAAAACTGATTCTCATAAAATAACAGAACAAATTGGCACTGAAAGGTTCACATTTTGTCCCCATTGTAATGATAATGGTCTATTTGTCTATTGTCAAAAACAATTTCAACATCATTTCAAATAGTATGCCAATATCTAGCATCTCTGTGATGCAAGTTTCAGAGTTTTTTTTAAAGAAAGGTTTGGGGTTTGAACAAATTATGACTTTTTCCTTCCTAAAAAATTTTTTTTTATGTATGAAGCAGTTTTACCAATTCTTTTAATCTATCTTTCATGTGAATAATAAGGAATACTAATATTTACAGAGGCAGATTTCACTTTTGTGGGAAACATTTTGTTGATTATTTAGGAAATCACTGAAGCATGACTAAGCCCCAGCCCCTTCTTATGGCAGTCAGTGGACCCCCCCCCCCCCCCCTTTATGAAAATTTCTGGATCCGCCACTGTATTTATCCATATGAATAAACAGAGATGAGAAGTATAGGGATCTATTCATTTTGAAGAAAAGGAAGCATTTTAAACTTCAATTTTTTCTAAATTTTTTACTTTTTGTTTCATTTACACCTCCGGAATTTCATACATTAATAGAATAGAAAATAGAATAAAATACTAGTAGACTGACCACGCCATGGCAAAAAAGAAAAAGACGAAAAGACAAATAACAGAACACAAAACACAACACTGAGCTACACGAACCCCACAAAAAACCGGGAGGATCTCAGGTCCTCCCGAAAAGTAAGCAGATCTTGCTAAACATGTGGCATCCGTCGTGTTAATCATGAAAGCACAAACCCGATGATCAGTCTCATTCGGTAGGTCACATTCGGGGAAATAAGGGAGCTACCATTTGATTTTTATGGGGGGGGGGGGGCTAGGATGAAATTTGAAAAAAAGGCAGGACAGGAGTTTTGAGTAAAAAAGAAGGCAGGATGACAATTTATGTAAAAAAAAGTCAGGATAAACTAATAAAAAAAAAGGCAGGACCGAAAACAGTGCAAAATAAAAAGGCAGGACAGAGATTACAACTAAAAAAAATGCAGGACAAAATTTTTCATCTTAGCTCCCCCTTAAAAACACACAAAACTAACAAAGGTTAGGTGTTCCTCACTTGGAACAGGCGCAAAAATGTGTTGGGGTTAAACATCATTTGTGAGATCTCAACCCTCCCCTATACCTCTAGCCAATGTGGAATAAACAAACACACCTCAATTAACCATACCCTTTTCTCAGATACGTAAATAAGCAATAAATCAACTGTATTTGATGTTTGGAATGATTATAAGGTGTAAATGTCCATCAGGCTACCAATATGTCTCCAACGCAGCTTGAAAATCTTGCACTCGGAGGCGGGCTCTAGTGTCCCCTAAACAGTAATGCATACAAATGAACCTAAATTTGAAAAAAAACAACACAAAGCTAACAAAGGTTAGGTGTTCCTCACTTGGAACAGGCGCAAAAATGTGGTGGGGTTAAACATCTTTTGTGAGATCTCAACCCTCCCCTATGCCTCTAGCCAATGCGGAATAAACAAACACACCTCAATTAATCATACCCCTTTCTCAGATACGTAAAAAAGCAATAGATTAACTGTCTTTGGTGTTTGGAATGATTATAAGGTGTAAATGTCCATCATTTGATCTTGACCACCTCTTCATGATCATTAATAACGTTTACTTTATGCGATACTTGTTGTAATACATTGATCTTAAAGATTTTCAATATAAAATTCAATCATGATCAGTTAAATAGGCGATGCATTTCAACAAGGATATAGCCACCTTCGCCATTTATTCTAGTTACTCTGAAATATGGTTCCCTATACTTCCCATGCCTATGTCTATGTAAATATGCACAGATGAACTGTGAAAAAAATTGGTGTATATCTTAAGACCTGTTTTGCTCCTCTGTGTTTTTATATAGCCGAAGTTAGCGGAACGGTGCAGAAATGCTAGATATAAGAATGATAATCTGGGAGGCATCAGCATTATCTTTGTGTATAAATTTCATATTTCAGAAGGTAGCAGAGCTGACCCCCAGAGCTGAATAATCCATATCTGATATGCGGATGCCTTGTGGTCTTGAGTTTCCATCTGACATGTTTCCCTTTGGCTTTGCCTCTTAGATAACCACTGATTTTTTTTTTCATCTCCTTTTTTTTGCCATCGTAAGTGATGGGACAATGTACATGTGCGTTAAACAGTATTGATATTATCTTGACATCATTTTTTGGTTCACATCTGTCGATTTTTAAGTTTCATGAATAGGACTTTGTCTCGGACAATATAAGTAATAGGTCGACTATATTGGGTTTAAAGGGAGTAACTCTGTTTGTAAGGTGAACATGCAAGTCAGGCAGGGTTTGTTTGACTTTTACCTTATTTACAAATATAATTGATAAATTTGTTAAGTTTCTTTATTAAGATATTGATCTTATAGACTTCCAGCATAAAATTCTATCATAATCAGTTACAAAGGCGATACATTTCATCGTTTTAGCGCAAAATGATAACCCATCTAGCGTTAATGTTTAGACCATTTTAGCGAAACATATAATGAACAATGTCCATTAAGCTAACGAAATTAATATAAATTATGGAGTTTTTCTCCTTGCATTATAAAATTGAATAATAATGCCTTTTTATACCAAGACAGCACAGTGTTAAAATGTCATATCCATTAAAATGTAATACTGAAGGTAAAAACTGAATACAATTAATCATCTCATCTTTGAGGTCTGTGAACACAACTGTTATAAGTTTGTTCTAGTCTGATATAAAGCCACCACTATCAAAGAAAAGATTACTATTATAACAAAAAATATTTGTGTGTGGTTCATAATATTTACTGAACGTCTCTCTGATATTTCCTGGTCTTTCAATATTTTGTCGATGGTGTCCTGTATTCGTCACCGGTATAGTGAATTGCATAAACAATACTAGTATCGATTTTAATTTTAATAAATTGTAAATGCAATCAACTTCGAATAAAACCAGCATTCATTTAAGAATTAAATGCTTCTTTTTGTAAATTTATTGGGGTGTAAAAGCGTTGACCGAAGTACATTTTGTATGAAGCGCGGAAGCGCTTCTAAAAACGTGCGCACGGTCAACGCTTTTACTACTCTATAAAATTACTAAAAGATGTATTCAATACTTATTATTACATTTTTTTGCTAGGATCATGAAAACACGATTTCTATCAAGTTTTTCTTTTATTTACCTGTGCACTTTATTGTGGAAGCTCGTGTCATCATGAATGTTACATTTCATTTTTTTGAAATGAAGGTTAATTTCAGAATGACGCGAGATTGCTGTTAGCCAATCAAAATAACGTATTATAATGAAACATACATGTAATGTAATTATTACTCTTTACGATGTGAGTATGTTGAGGTAAGTTTTTGGTTAACATGGACAATTATGTAATATTAGTTTCATATATACTTCCCTAAAATAATTAAATATACTTTGTTAAACTAGTTTTATTATTTTCCATACCACATTGGCATTGTTTGTCGAGGAACTCAATATGTGCAGTGCAGTCGATTACTTTTGTAGTGTTTTATGTTATTAAGTTGAAATTCCTTTTTTTTATTTCAATCTCATTACAATTCTTATTCTATTTTTTTACTATAACAGAACTGAAAATAAAATAATATTGTTCTGCTGGAAAATGTTTTCCTATGAGAATTCGATTTTTCCGGGAGGTGTTTACAATGCCTGAGATTTTTTTTTCTATTATGCTTGTGTTCACTACTTGATATGTTGTAATTGCACAGTTTTTAAATAATCTACTTTATCAAAAAATCGTAAACTTTGACTTATCTATAATTTTTTAATACTGAGCTCGTTAAGAATGCAATGTATAGATGAATACCAACACGATGTATTAAATTATGTAAAATTTAGGGGAGACAAAATTTAACACTTATGTCAAAATGGATTACTTTATTTAGCTTAGAAAGTCAATTCTTTTTGACATGATATCCTGGTAAATTTTCCAAGTCGCAAAATAAGTTTAAAAGTTGAAAACAATATTGATATTCTGGTCCAGTCCAAAATAGAGGGCAAGATGATTTTATTGAGAATTGTGTATTCTTAATTAATGATCTGGTGTCAGATAACTACATATAAGTATCTGATCACCGTATGTTCTATGGCAGCTTACAAGTCAAATGATTCCAGCCTTTATTGATATTTTCAATGTCAATACATATATTGTTTCACGAAAATTAAATAAAATCATATATCTTTAATATTCCCTGCTGCTCTATTCAAATTTATTCTATGAATTATGCAATTGAAAATGAAATTTTAATCACTACTTCAAAATATCTATACATTAATTTGCAGGTTACCGCGTGGATTTAATTTTGGTTATCACCATGAGTTCTGAAATGAAAGAGACCTTTTTATACTGATAATTATATTTCACATATTTCAAGATAATATTTAAAAACCTATTCAGTATACGAATGTCAGTTACGGATTTAAAGATTTTTTATCGGAAATTAAAAAAACGTCATTGAAAAAACCCGGAATGATTTTCTGTTATTAATGGTCTACCAATCGCCACCAACAGATCCATGAGGAATTCATAGGCTTTTCCAATAGGACAAAAAGTTATGAATACTATTTCAAGCTTTTCTGATTTCAAAAACCTACCAATATAGAAATAAGGAGATGTGGCATAATTGTCAATGAGACAACTATCCACCAAAGTTCGAATGAAGGGGATGTACGCAATTATAGGCAACTGTACGGTCTTCAACAATGAGAAAAATCCATATTGTATAGTCGGCTATAAAAGGTGCCGACATGAAAAATATAAAACAATTCAATTGAGAAAACTAACGGCCTAATTCATAAAAAAACAATTTACGAAAAACAAATATGATAGACATGAACCAACTGAACTACAGGTTCCCGACTATGTATATATATATATACAGGCACATAAAGAATGTAGCGGGGTTAAGCAGGTTTGTGAGCGCCCAACCTTCTCCTAACATGGGACAGTGGTGTTACAGCATAACATAATAATAAACTATAAAAATTAGTTGAAAAGGGCTTAACTCGACAGACCGATACAAGGCAGAAAAACATCTAACAAAAATACAGACCGGACGTGGCAGGGTATTTATACATTCCTAACAACAACAAAAGTACAAAGTACAGATCTGAGAGTACTCGCACTTACTGACAGCAAGTTCAAAGCTATAACAGAGACATATATACACATATATATGTCTCTGGCTATAACAACCAATAGATAATGCATCTAAGACTAAAATATCAATCAGTACACATCCAACATCCAATGGATTTAGTGAAAAGACGTCATTAACAGCCAGAGAAAAAAACATGACCTTGTGCAATGCCAAAATATAGGTATCGACAGATTGTAGTACTGTGAAAGTGCATATGTGTATAACAATACTATTTAGTATGGTTTTTATTTACTGATAACAAACTCAATATTTATACCAATAAAAACAATATTGAAAGATATAATTATGTTTAATTGGTAACCTTTTAGAATAAGTTTATTCAAAGGATTTATAAGTTTACCCGGATCGTATCTAAAGTTCCGGGCTTGGTAAACAACATCACCGCGTAAAATTTAGGATGTGCTATTCCGTTTGAAATAAGTTTTTAACAGGTACTGTCAAATTTGCAAACCAAATCTTTGTATATATGGAAGAATTTTGTTAAGTTTTTTAGTAATTTGTGGTAACGAAATTCCTTACTTATTATTTACTATTAATACATAGATTACGCTCATTGAAATCCAAAACGTCACTCCAGACACGGGCATAGCGAACTAGTTGGGATATACAAACCTCGTAAGACGGTGCCAAAGGAACATCACCGTCCAAAAAAAAGGAAAATAACAATAATGAAAGTAAAATCATACCTTGTGTCGTAATTTTTTGTGTAGAGTTTCTGGTGTAAACCAGAACATTTTTTTGGTTATTCAGGATCCTTAAGATCGTTGAATTCCCTGAACCATCAAACCTACTTCTTTCCTTTTTCGATTTCTAACAATGATCTACACTTCTGTTTTTTTTTTGGTAACACAAAAATGAACATTAGAGCGATTAAAAAGAGTCGAGTCTTATTCTACTGCTAGTATATGTAAACATGTTTGAGTTTGGTATACCTTATGTTCATTTAATTTTATGCTATGGTTTCCTGTCAGAAGTGGATGAAAAATGTCTTATATTAAGAACAAAACCGACGTTCACAAAAAAGTCAGTAATCTACGAAAGCCTATTAGGGTCACAAAAAAAAAATATTGATCTCGTAATTACGAGATAAATATCTCGTAATTACGAGAAAACTATCGCGTAATTACGAGATAATCATCGCGTAATTACGAGATAAAATAAACTGCTTCGCTGAGCGCACCTGGATACGCCCACAGAGGTCCAACCCTGAACAATTGGGGCAAAAATGGACACAATATTCAAGCTTGATACAGGTCTGAATTCGGATTGTAATTAAATATTCGACATATTATAGGTTTCTGAATAAATGTAGTCAAAGAACTTGAAATTAGTTATTTGAATTGAATTTATATTCAATTAAAGATTTCTTGCTGTTGTGCAATACACTGTGCTGTTGCGCAATACTTAGTAAATCTGTTGTCAGGCTATAAACAAATAAAGTTCAATTAATTCTCAATGTCATATTAGAAATTTATAAAAATTTAAAGGGAGCTTACATCAATAGATATAAACTATTCACCAAAATTTTATAAGAACTACTGAAAACATTTTTTATTTTTGTCCGAAAACTAGAAAATCCCCCTTTCTTTATGAATAAAACCCCACAACTCGGAAACGTAAAATCTAAAATATATAAAAAAACGAAAGGGAGCTCACGTCAATAGACATAAACAATTCACCAAAGTTTTATGCAAATTAGTTAAAGCGTTTTTGAGTTAATGTCCGACGTGTTGACGACGGACGGACAGACGGACAACGGTATACCATAATACGTCCCGTAAACGGGCGTATAAAAATGCGAGATAAAAAAAAATGATTATCTCGTAATTACGCGATAGTTTTCTCGTAATTACGCGATGATGATCTCGTAATTACGGATAATTATCTCGTAATTACGTGATAGTTATCTCGTAATTACGCGATAATTATCTCGTAATTACGCGATAGTTTTTCTCGTAATTACGCGATAATTATCTCGTAATTACGAGATAAAAAATGATTATCTCGTAATTACGAGATAAGAAAGGATTATCTCGTAATTACGAGATAAGAAAGGATTATCTCGTAATTACGCGATAGTTTTCTCGTAATTACGCGATAATTGTCTCGTAATTACGCGATAGTTTTCTCGTAATTACGAGATATTTATCTCGTAAAATTTTACGCGATCAATATTTTTTTTTGTGACCCTAATAGGCTTTCGTAGTAATCTCATCCATGATTGTATTTGTTTTTTTTTATATATATTATTACGTTTATCCTTTTAGGAATTTCGTGTATGCGGTTGATTTTATATTTATTAACAACTTGCCTTGTCTGGAGTTGTGACTATCAAGGGCTTGCCATGTGCTACAACGTGCAAAGAAACTTGATCTCAAACATGTCTGTCTTTTTCTTGCGTTTTATCATGTTTGTGGGCTGCATATGCCTTAAATCCACCCATTCGCACGCATGTCGATATTAAATTCATAAGACAAATATACTTGGCGACCGGGGAAACATTTGCAAATATAAAAATAAGATGTGGTATATGATTGCCAATAAAACAACTCTCCACAAGAGAACAAATGACATAGAAGTTGATAATTATAGGTCACCGTGCGGCCTTCAACAGTGAGCAAAACCCATACCGCATAGTCAGCTATAAAGGCCCCGAAATGATGATTTCATGTCATGCACTAATCTCAAATCATGATCGCTGGTTGAACAGAGATAAGTGGTCGCATGAAACTTGTGTCATGAAATATTAAAGTGAAGCGTGCAAAGTCTACAAGTTTCATGCTACTGTGTAAAAGCAGCAATGAATATATGGTAATCAGGTGTTTCATGATCGTGCAACTTGAACCCCCGTTTAGGCAGTGAAATTCAGTTTGTACCTTCAATCAATAAACATCCAGTATTTTGTCTCAGACTTAATGAATTAATTTTAAGCACCGATGCCAATCAAAATTTGCTTAAAGTGCTCCTTATTTGTTAATCTGCGGAAAGTTGATTATATTAATGGATCTTAAGGTCTTAATAAAAACAAACATCTCTCGCGGCTACTTAACTGATTCACTATTTTGTGCATAGCAGAAACGTAGAAAATGAAATTTTAAAACTATTTCTGATATTCCAGATAATCATGCTGTTTGATTGTAAAATAAAATTAATAACGAATTACTATTACATCATATTTATATCTCGCCAAGTTTGACAAAAAAACAATTTACGTGTTTCTTTCACCTCTCTATGTGACATAATATACTAGTAATACTCTTCACAGTTTCTCTTAACATGTACGTTTTTTTAATTCGGTGGAAGAATTTTCATAGACATCAATCTAAAAAAAAAATTCCTTAAATGAATAAAATTAATTATAGACTTTCTTCGATTAGAGAGATGATATTTAAACTGCCATAAATGATTTTATCAAATTACACTTAACAGGCCCATGGGAGAGATTGATTTCATAAATACTGGAAGTTTTCCGTGGAACCTGGACGTATTTGAATGCTGTGCAGTTTGTAGACGATGGAAATGTCAACGTTGAAGTACATATCTACAGAGACTGGATCGGACGTTTACACCAGCCTTCAGATGGAAACAAATAACTCACTAGGTAACAAAACACTGACGGAGTATGAACAATTTACCAAATTACAGTTTATTCTAATTGCAATTTTTGCAGGTATTCTTGCGTTTTTAACCCTAGGTGGAAATCTTTTGGTGATGATATCTTTCGGAATGAATAAGAAATTGAGAATACTAAACAACTATTTTTTGGCAAGTTTGTCTGTTGCAGATTCAGCTATTGGGTTAATATCAATGCCTCTATATACTGTATATGTTCTCCTGGGACATTGGCCGTTCAGTTCTCTGCCATGTGATCTTTGGCTATCAATGGACTATGTCATGAGTAACTCATCAGCATTACATCTAGTTATCATATGTGTAGACCGATATTTTTCCGTCAAGAGACCATTGACTTACAGAGCTAATAGGACATCTAAAAAAGTTATAAGAATGATTGTTTCCGTTTGGGTGATTTCGAGTTTACTGTGGATACCATTGATTTTTGCGATGCCTTACATAAAAGGCGAGCGTACCGTCCCAGAAAATGATTGCTACATTTCATTTCTATATTCAAATGCTTATGTTACCATAACTACTCATATCTTGGCGTTTTGGCTGCCGGTTTTTATCATGATTGTTTTTTATCAAAGGGTCTACAGTGTTGCATTGGAACATGCTGCTTTTAAGTCGAAATATGCATGTCGAGCTGATGTTCCAGCTAACAAAGCTACAAACAATTGTCGCGGCAAACTCGATAGGCATGTATCAATTGATAGCACAGTATCTACTATAAGTGGAGTATCTAATAGGAATGGAGGAAAGTCTCATCCTGACAGAGAAGGCGATAAAGCTGCAAGAACACTCACCGCTATTCTATTAGCATTTATTATAACATGGACACCATATCATGTTAATGTGATTATATCTTGTTTTTGCTCGAACTGTGTACCGAATGCTGTGTATCATTTTGGTATGTATAAATGTAAACATAAGTTTTAAAGAGATAAATTGACCATACTTCTTTTTAACAATGTTTTAACTTGACAGATACTAAACATAATTAAAGGCAAATATTTTATACTATAAGAATATATCATTAAACTTGAAAGTTAATAAATCAATGAAAATGAGTTATCGCACTTAACAAATATTTTAGCTACTGTATGTTTCAAAATGTAACACTCCAGGAAAGTCATATGCCACAATGAGCATTGCATCAAAGAAAAACATGTTGCTGTGTTACATATTAGTTTTTCGTTCATTATTCTGTACATAAATTAGGCCGTTAGTTTTCTCGTTTGAATTGTTTTACATTTCATTTCGGGGCCTTTTATAGCTGACTGTGCGGGCTTTGCTCATTGTTTAAGGCCGTACGGTGACCTATAGTTGTTAATTTCTGTGTCATTTGGTCTCTTGTGGAGAGTTGTCTCATTGGCAATCATACCGCATCTTCTTTTTCATATATGCTTGTAATTGTTTTTAATTTTCAGACGTTTTAGCAGTTGGAAGTCTCTCTGACGTTCTAAAAAATAATGAAACAACAAAGACAAGTGCAAGTGGACACTTTTAAAATTAAAAAAGATAATAATGACAGTTTATAGCAAGCATGTTTTTGGACCAATAGATATGTATTAGTCCCAGGTTATGTAAACCAGTGATGTTTCAGCATTATCAATGTCATAGAATATATAAAAAAAACCAGATTATTTCATTGATTAGTCTTTTGTAAACGAAAAGCGCGTGCCTCTGGCGTACCAAATTTTAATCCTGGTATCTATAATAAATTTATTCTTTGATATGTCTTAATACAAGTATAAATAAGAAGATGTGGTATGAGTGCCAATGAGACAACTCTTAATCCAAGTCACAATGTATACAAAGTAAACAATTGTAGGTCAGAGTACGTGTTTTCCAATGAAATAGCTATAATGTTTTGCACAAATTGATGACGAAAGCTAAATATGACCCCAACCTAGATAAGGCCTTTTGTCTTACATTCTCTTTGGATCCCATGTTCTTAGTAGGTGTCTGCCGGTATAACAATGTTCTTCTCTTGTTGATAAGTAGGTGTATTCTGTTTTCCTTTTGTTCATATTCTTGTATTTTATCAATAGTTTCTGAGTTCTCCCTGTAACTCGTTACCTTTCTCACGAAAGAAACAATTCATTTCATCATATGATGTTTGGAATGCATTTCCAGAATTTGTAAACTTAAAAGAGACTAACAAAAAAACCAACAAAAATTTAAAACAAAAACACAATTTTGTTACGACCCGTACGTCTGTTCCCGAACTCGCATCCAACAAAACAAAACAAAGACACGTCGATTACAAAAAAATGTTACACTCGATTGTCCAAGGTATAAGGTAGTAATTTCATAGCAAACAGTATCATAGATTGCAATATAAAGTGACGGGTTTACAATAAAATAATGAACAACCAAATTTTTGTATTAATGAAATGCCGATAAGTTTAATGTATAAAATGAACTCTTTTTTTAGAAATATCTGAACGTAGTTATATTTTAAAAAGGGTCATACAAAAAGCCACTAAAAGTAGTTTCCTTTTCAAATTTGTCTACTCCGCGATGTAGCCTTTTTGCGCTGATGCGGCGTAAAGCAAACACCAATCAATCAATCAAATGTGTCCTTTATATTTCAGGTTACTGGCTGTGCTATATCAACAGCACAGTTAATCCGCTCTTGTATGCCCTATGCAACATGAATTTCCGATGGACATTCATAAGAATTCTGACATGCAACCAAATACATTCTGATAAAAGTGGTATGGTTAGTAGAAATGATCCTCAATGCAGATCAACTAAGATAAATTCATAATCATGGACTAGATGAGACTTCATCGCAGAAAAACTGCTACAGTTCAAACTCATTTAATGTACAATTCGATAATTTCTAAGAACAAAAAATAAATGTAGATTATTAAAGAGAGAGGTAGGGCCAATTTCCATGAATTTGTTTTATGCTATTAGCATTTTTAAACAAAGCCTTCAATCTGTACCAAAGATTACAGTTTCAAAGCTCCATGTGTGTATTGTAGTGTACTAAGGTGTTAACACTAGCATTGCCTTTTCCAAGAAGATTAGCTCAAAACCAAAATGAGTTTTTTCAGTGTTTATCCAAAAAGTATAAGAAGGACATTCTTAATTAAATCCAAAATCGAGGTACAATAATATGGTTTTAAGAAACATACTGATCAAGATTTATGATGCAAAATTTTACAAAATAAACCCCCCTAAAAATTCAGTTTAGTATCAAAATGTATATAAATAGCATGATGCAGTGCTGAAAACAATTCAATTTTATGAATGTTATACAATTGTTTAAATTTTTTTTTATGACATATAAAGGCAACAGAAGTTTACCGCTGTTCAATAGTCATAAATCGATTTAGCGAAAACAAATCCTGGTCACAAACCAAAACCGAGGGAAACAAGAGGAAAACAACGGAACAACAGAAACACTGAAAGGCTACAAAAACAAACGCCAAAATAAATAGAAACGGACTATTTGATAACAACTGCCATAAACCTGACTTGGTACAGGACATTTTAAGAAAAAATGGTGGGTTTAACCTGGTTTTATGGCTTACCAAACCTCCCGCTTATATGGCAATGTTAAAATTACCGCTAAATGATAACATTACGTGACAGGAGTACAATACAAATAAACGCAAGAACACTCAGGCCAGAGAAGTACATAAATAAATAATATAATAGTACATTACAACATGTAAACCACACAATAACAACGGACACCTTCCATGAATTTACGACAGTACACCAGTACACCACAATATAATTATGAACTCTGCGTCACACGAATGTATCAACGCCTCAAAAAGTGACGTATTTTTGTGACGTTTATTTTATTATAGGTAATTTTCTAAAAATATATAATATGAAATTGGAATTGAGTTTGTAATGGTGTTATTTTATGTATTTTCTAACCATTTCAAGAATATCAAATATAGAATTGTGTTTGTAATGGTGTAGTTATTTGTATTCTCTAACCATATCGGTTTTTCTTCTAAATCAAAACTGTGTAAAAACAAATAAATCCTGTGCATATAGTTGCTTTAAACTAAAAATCATATAAGATTAATTATCTTAACTTTCACATATATACAGAAAATAAAAATAGAATTCAAACCACAAACGATAAGACATAACACAATATCCAACCAGACTTACAAAAGAAACATCATAACTAAATACAGTCATATTCGGGAATAGTTCACGTTCGGTACTTAGCAGACCAGACGACGTAGATGGTAAACCACAATCTAAGACATGATAAAATGTCGTTAGTTAGTTAATACACAAACACATCGTATAGATCAACTAATTCGTGATGGTGTCCATAAAATTTACAGTGTAATTTTTAATCTTTTCTCCTCATAACTCTGTTGGAGCAGTTTCTGCGTAAGGAGCATACTCCTGTATATATATTCTTTAATGTTGTAATTCCAGTAGGTTTTGTACCAACTTTTAGACTGTGACCCTGCGAGTGAAACAAACTATTTTCTCATTTTTGAAGGCCGTACGGTTGCCTTTAATTACTTACATTCACTTCATTTGAACTTTGGTGGATAGTCGTATCATTGGCAATCTTACCGCATCTTCTTATCTTTATATTCGTACAGATGAAACTGGCCCTTCCTCTTTTGCATGAGTGTATGTCTGTGTTTCGTGTGTCATTTTAGAACAGAGGTGGAGAAGGGATGAAATAACTTTATTCATTGCTTCAGCAGAAGCATTTTTAAAAAATCATGTATTTTGTCTACAGTACTACAAATATTTTATTTTCTAAACATTTTGACCCCGGCTTCCGCAGCACCAATACACCCCGGTCGTTGATGGTGCCGGTTCGTGAGTTCCAATATTGTTCTTTTGTCCTTTCGTCTATATTTTTTTTGTCATGGTGTTGTCAGCCTTCGACATAAGATTTTTATTTAGGCTTCTTATTCTTCTTAGCTTTTTGATAAAACACAACAGGAGTTAGCTTAACACATCAATTTGATAATTTTTAATAATTTTGATATAAAGACATTCCAAAATGAGAATTACATCAATAGTAGAATTTGGTATTATCTTCCATAGAAAAAAAATATTAATTTAGAACCGGATATTTCAATCCTACGTGTGATTGTGTAACATTATGAAGCGGGTCAAAATGGGGTATTGATGATGAATAATTCATTAGTTCTAACGATAAAACAAATTGGTTGATATATATATCTTTAGTAATTGTAATTTTATTTGTTTTTCGTATTTCCTGAAATTCCTGTCTATTTGCATGATTTTTATTAAATCATTAACGTTGTCACCAATATTTGTATGTTCAATTATGGCGCGGAATCAAGGTCATTATTATTGATTTTAGCATATGCTTTAAATCTAATTAAGCATATGCTGAATTATTTATATACAGAAATGTTGGTGCGGAATCAAGCTAGGTCATAAATATTGAATTTAGCATATAATAAATTCAATTCAGCAGATGCTTGATCAACTTATCATATGCTAAAATGAATAAAGTATATATTAGCATGTGCTAAAATGAATTTAGCATATACTGAAATACAATTTAGCATACGTTGAATTGTATTAAAACATGTGCTAAATTAAATAATTATGACCTTGATTCCATTTCATATTTACTCGCAAAGTCCAGTTTACTATCTATATCATCTGTTGACGATACTAACCATGATGCAACAATTATAAAACCCAGGACCAATTTCTCTTTGTCTGATCTGGTAATAACTGAGCAAGATATTAAAGATGTACTAAAACATTGAAAATAGGTAAAGCATGTGGTAATGATTTAATTAGCCATTAAATGCTGAAAGGCACCGCGGATTCTGTTTATAAACCTCTACTGATTCTATTCAATAATTCACCTCAAGCCGGTAAGTTCCCAACGCAATGGAAACTTGCTAGAGTTATGGCTTCTTTTAAAAAAAGAGGATAAATCAAATCCTTCAAATTATAGACCAATATCTTTATTGAGTTCTGTAGGAAAGGTAAAGGAAAGAGTAGTGTATAAACATATTTATAACTATATATTAGAGCACTCATTATTATATGCATACCAGCCAGGGTTTCTTAAAGGCCATTCGACTATTTACCAACTCTTGGAAATCTATCATAATGTTTGTCAAAACCTAGACAAAAAGTTATCTACCATTATAGTATTTTGTGATATATCAAAAACCTTTGATATAGTCTGGCATGTAGGCCTTATTCAAAAACTACTTTCGTATGGAATATCTGGTAAACTATTAGACTGGATTAAGGACTATATCAGCAACAGACAGCAAGTTGTTTTTATAAACAATGAAACTTCAAATCAAGGCGAAATCAAGGCAGGAGTTCTGCAGGGATCTCTATTGGGTCCTCTATTATTTCTTTTATATATTAATGACATTACAAATAATCTCCATAACCTAGCCCGTTTATTTGCAGACGACACCTCTCTCTCATATTCTGGTAGCAACTTTCAAAAAATTGATAGAGATATTAATAAAGACCTTTTCAGTTTAAATGAATGGGCCAAAAAATGGTTAGTAGATTTTAATCAAAAGGAAACCAAAACATTGGTAATTGCAAATGTTAAACCACCAGTAATGAATATTTTATTTAATGGTGAAAACGTTGAAACTGTTAAATGTCACAAGTCCTTAGGTGTCACACTTTCATCAGATGGAAACTGGACCAGCCATATAGATAATATTACAAAGTCTGCATTAAAACAAGTAAATGTACTAAGGAAACAAAAATTTACACTTTCCAAAAAAAGCTTATCCAATATCTATGTCACTTTTATAAGACCACTTTTGGAATATGGGTGCAGAGTATGGTATGAGTGTTTTGAATATGAATCTAATAAACTAAAAAAAATACAATTGGAAGCTGCAAGGATAGTAACAGGGCTTACAAAATTTTCAAGTTTAGAATCCTTATATTTTGAAACGGGCTGGGAAACATTAGCAGAAAGGCGTAGACAACGAAATTTAACAATGTTCTATCAAATGCATAATAAATTTTGTCCCCAATATTTAATCGACTGTCTACCTCCAGTTACATCTGATGTCAGTGGATACAACCTAAGAAATAATGATAACTATAAAACCCCTAGATGTAGACTACGAATAACTGAAAAGTCATTCGTACCATCTACTGTCAGAATATAGAATAATTTAAATCCAACAATAAGAAACGCACCAACTATCCAACAATTTAAACGAAAAATAAGGGGTGAACTATTTAGACCTCCAACATATTATGGTGAAGGGCCTAGAAAATTTAATATACTGCATACAAGACTAAGGCACCAGTGTAGTTCATTAAATGCAGACTTAAATAAGATAAATGTAGTGAATGATTCTAAATGCTCCTGTGGTTCTCCTGTTGAAGATGCCATCCATTACTTTCTAGAATGCTAATTATATCATAACCAAAGAATATCTCTGGTTAATGATCATTTTAAATATGAACATACTATTGTTTGGAAAAGATGCACATAATTACGAAACTAGCTCTAAATTTTTTGATAAAGTTCGTTATTTCATTAAACAGTCGAAAAGATTTTAACGTTCTAAGTCAGCAGCTTTCTTTTTTCTTTCTGTCCTATTTGCTTTTTTGTTGCCTTGCCAATGTGTGTCTCCTTCCTTTATTTTCTATAACTGTCGCTATATTATGTATGTGTTTGCTGTCATCATATATGTGTATTAAATATGTAAGGAGAGGACTTAATATAAGTTGTAATAACTTGTGTCCAATCCTATTGCTTGATTAATGCAATAAAATATTATG